TAGTTTAGATTTCCTCCTGTAGTAACACTGAATCAATAAGGGATGATCCTTACTGGACCTCTAGGAAGAACAGTTTAGAACTGATAGAGCTATCCAGTATAAATAAAGTTAGTTTAGTTTAGGTTTCCTCCTGTAGTAACACTGGATCAATAAGAGATGATCCTTACTGGACCTCTAGGAAGAACAGTTTAGAACTAATAGAGCTATCCAGTATAAATAAAGTTAGTTTAGTTTAGGTTTCCTCCTGTAGTAACACTGGATCAATAAGAGATGATCTTTACTGGACCTCTAGGAAGAACAGTTTAGAACTGATAGAGCTATCCAGTATAAATAAAGTTAGTTTAGTTTAGGTTTCCTCCTGTAGTAACACTGGATCAATAAGAGATGATCCTTGCTGGACCTCTAGGAAGAACAGTTTAGAACTGATAGAGCTATCCAGTATAAATAAAGTTAGTTTAGTTTAGGTTTCCTCCTGTAGTAACACTGGATCAATAAGAGATGATCCTTACTGGACCTCTAGGAAGAACAGTTTAGAACTGACAGAACTATCCAGTACAAAATAATGAAGGTAGTTAAATACCTGTAAAACTCTGGCTGCTAGAGGTTGAGTGAACACTCCATCACGTGTCACAAACCTGACAAACAGTTGATTTTCATTATACTGCCAGAAATGAACGCCCCACTTCTCGGCAGAGTAATGCATTATCGGACCATTCTTTCCAGTGGGAAATATTGCAGCCAACAGAGTCATAGAGTATTGAGTATCGAGGTGGCTGGTTTGGGGTATTTCAATATAAGAGTCTTTGTTGCCAGAAAATTCGTAAGCTGTTTTACGTTCTAAATAAATAAAAAAGAAAATATCGGAGAATTATCCATTGCATGTGATATTTCAAATCATACTAGGACTGGATCAATATACTTCACCAGGTATGCTTCACCATTTCGCTGATGTTTGTTTTTACTACTCATCTCTAGTAAAAATCCAGGGAATCTTACCATCAGGTCCAGTGGTTAATTGCACATGTTTAAGTATGACATTCTCTTGATTGACGACATCTTTGCCACCAAATGTCTTATCCAAGGGAAACAAACCAACAGGTTTAGGCAAAGCTAAAAAAGTACAAAAAAGTTTATCATACATTGAGTGGAATATATCAAATTCTTCTATGATGTAGCTTGTGTACAGACAGCACAAAAGTATTGTAGATGGAATTATCGAGTGGAAATTTATATATATTTAAAAACTCATTAATAATTCACGACGAAAACACAAAAGAAATCATGGGCGTGAAGGAGTCTGTATATGTGATACAGATTCATGTTGATTTACATAAACTTTAACTTTGATTTTCTCGGCTTAGACAACGTTTATTTTTAAAATTACTTCGACAATGAACTCATAAGATGAGTAATTTTTTAAGCCATTCTCGCCTTCGGCTCAAGTTTGTATATCCGATACAACACGGCCGCTCATGTTCCCTGTAAGGAATCCCTGCGATAAGGGGTCCCTGCGATTCCGGTGAAGCGCTCTAACCAACTGAGCTACAGTTTGTACACAGGCTAAGAGAATGCATTCACATACTATGTAATTCCAGAGCAATTCAGTTGTTATTGCTCTTTTGGAAATTAAATCTTAATCTTAAATCTTACTGAGTTACAAATTATCGAATTATTTTCATTTCTTTAATGAAGTTAAACATACCTGATGACTCCGATGAGGGACCTGGTCCAGTTCGGCCATCTTAATTGACAAACGAAAGAGATACATGAATATTACACACAAAATAAAAACTATTGGAATGAATATCTGAACCAAATTCAAGCCTGAACCAAATTCGAGGCTGGATAGTGCACGCGGGTTGGCGTACACAAAGTATGTTTTAATAGACAGTATTTCAGCTCTTCTCAACCAACCTGGTAGTTTCCAGCTCAAGTGTTTTTGTTTAAGAGGACCTTCAAAATGGCCACTCGGCATCTCAACAGCAACCGAAGCACAGTCACCTAGTTTCTCTGCTTTCTGATACACTGTGATGTAGTAAAACCTGCCCTCTTTCATCGCGATTTTCTCAGATTTTTGTTCTGCGTACCTGAAAACATAAAGAATTTGTCAGTGTCGAACGGGCTATTCGGTATTCTCCATTGATCCGGTGTTACAGACTTCTGCAGAAGAAAATAACTAAACTAATTACCTTATTTGTTTTACTAATTACTTTAAGTTATATCAGTTCTCAACTGTTCCTAGAGGTCCAGTAAGGATCATCTTTTTTTGATCCAGTGTTACTACAGGAGGAAACTTAAACTAAACTACCTTTATTTATACTGGATAGCTCTATCAGTTCTAAACTGTTCTTCCTAGAGGACTAGTAAGGATCATCTCTTACTGATCCAGTGTTACCACAAGAGGCAACCTAAACTAAACTAACTTTATTTATACTGGATAGCTCTATCAGTTCTAAACTGTTCTTCCTAGAGGTTTAGTAAGGATCATCTCTTACTGATCCAGTGTTACTACAGGAGGAAACCTAAACTAAACTAACTTTATTTATACTGGATGGCTCTATCAGTTCTCCCTAGAGGTGTAGTAAGGATCATCTCTTATTGAATCAGTGTTATTACAAGGGAAAATCAGAGTACTTGCAGAAAAGTGGAGCACTCTCCTAGTATAAGAGTGAAGAGGCTGAGGTGAAATTGAGATCACACAACTGCCTAGAGGGAACAAAATTGGTCTGAAATTATCAAAACTTTTACTCACTTTAACCATTCGTTGTGATCTGTCCAACCAGTAATGGAGACGACTTTACGTAAGTTCGTTTCACTGTCGTCTGAACTGATCCACAACTCTCCTGTACTGTCAGCAGCAAGGTAGAACCTGCAAGAAAACATGAGAGATTGGTATAACATTGGAGAATGAGCATGGAAGATTTCATGGAAGGATGGCAGAGAGGTAGAAACAAGGGAAAAAAGCGAGGAAGGAATTTAAAATTTAAAAAGCGAAGGGAGGAAGAAAGGTAAGAAAAACTGACTCCTAAAAAAACTCGCGCCCTGCATCGCCAAACATGAAATTTTCGATATAAACTAATTTTAGCATGAATATCTTTTCCAAATACGAAAATAAAAATCGATAACACGAATTCGGATCGGAGAATTGTAGTTAAGACGAAATGCTCATACCTGTAATCTCCGGTCTCTGGAGCCACAAAGTATCCACGCACTCGCGATCCATAATTATCCTCCACATTGTACGGGGCATCAAAATTATCAATGACTTCAACACTCGAGGGATTATTAGGGAAGTTGGGATTCGAAGTGAGGTCTATCACCTGATATCCACCCATATCCTTCCATACTTCACGGACAAGACCAGCGTAATGGTTACCTAACAATAATGAAAATGCCAAAGATTTAAATAATTTGAATCTTGAATCTCGGTTGACTAAGTATAAACTAGCTTCCCCCATTAAGCTTGTCAGGAGAACAGTTTAGAACTGATAAAGCTATCCAGTATGAATAAAGTTTGTTTAGTATAGGCTTCCTATTGTGGTAAAATTGGATCAATAAGAGATGATCCTTACTGGACCTCTAGGAAGAACAGTATAGAACTGATAAAGCTATCCAGTATAAATAAAGTTTGTTTAGTTTAGGCTTCCTATTGTGGTAACACTGGATCAATAAGAGATGATCCTTACTGGACCTCTAGGAAGAACAGTTTAGAACTGATAGAGCTATCCAGTGAAGATAAAGTTAGTTTAGTTTATCTTTCCTCCTGTAGTAACATTGGATCAATAAGCGATGATCCTTACTGGACCTCTAGGCTGAACAGTTTAGTACTGATAGAGCTATCCAGTATAAATAAAGTTAGTTTAGTTTAGGTTTCCTCTTGTAGTAACACTGGATCAATAAGAGATGATCCTTACTGGACCTCGAGGGAGAACAGTTTAGAACTGATAGAGCTATCCAGTATAAATAAAGTTAGTTTTGTTTAATAGGTTTCCTCCTGTAGTAACACTGGATCAATAAGAGATGATCCTTACTGGATCTCTAGGCTGAACAGTTTAGAACTGATAAAGTCGATAAAGCTATCCAGTGTAGATAAAGATAGTTTTATCCATATATCCCGTACCTGGCCGTCTCCACTGTAGTGTTTCCTTTGTCAATGGCCGGATATATCTCCCGCTGGGAAGTTTAACACCACCAGAAAGACTATCACTTGAGCTTGTTCCCTTTTGAACAGCGACTACGAAATAATATCGGCCTGCCTCGAGATCGACTGGTTTGGAACTCTGGGAAGGTGATCTGAATTGAGAGTAAAATCAAAATCAAAATTGATAGTTAATGACTCGAACAGAGACCCTTTCTCAGGAAGTTGGCTTTCTTCGAGTACTCGAGTTTATTTCCATAGTAACTCCCATAGTAACACTGGATCAATAAGAGATGTCCCTTACTGGATCTCTGGGGTGAACAGTTTAGAACTGTAGTTTAGGTTTTAAGAGACGACTCGCACTCGACCTCCAGGAAGAACAGTTTAAAACTGATAGAACTGTCCAGTATAAATAAAGTTAGTTCAGTTCAGGTTTCCTCCTGTAGTAACATTGGATCAACAAGAGATGATGCTAACTGGACCTCTAGGGAGAACAGTTTAGAACTGATAGAGCTATCCAGTATAAATAAAGTTAGTTTAGGTTTCCTCCTGTAGTAACACTAGATCAATAAGAGATGATCCTTACTGGACCTCTAGGGATAACAGTTTAGAACTGATAGAGCTATCAAGTATAAATAAAGTTAGTTTAGGTTTCCTCCTGTAGTAGCACTAGATCAATAAGAGATGATCCTTACTGGACCTCTAGGGATAACAGTTTAGAACTGATAGAGCTATCCAGTACAAAAAAGGCATTCTTTACCGATTCCATTGATTATGAGAACTTCCACTTGAGAACGATACAATCTTCTTCAAACCACTTTCTTGTCCGTTTGCACTGAGCCACAGTTCAGCAGCATTGCTACCGGCCAAGAAGAATGTATACGGTCCAGTTTCTGGTGGTATAAAGTAACCCTTGACTTTTGACCCGTAATCCCGATCAAGATCAAAAGGTGCGTCAAAATTCTCGATTATCTGAATGTCAGAAGGGTCGTTGGGGTAGTAAGCATTAGAACGCAGATCACTCACTTTGGATCCAGGAACATTACGCCAGATTTCACGAATTAACCCCGGGTAGGGCATGCCTGTGAAAAGATTAATAGGTGGTTTAGGGGCCATTCACAAAGGATGTCCGGCCAAATGATGGATTTTCAGACCCTCCCCTCCCCCCCCCTTGTCTGGCATTGTCCGAATTAGTGACCCCCCCTCCCCCCGGACATCCGCCATGCCTCGCAAAAACTCACGCAACCTTGTATATGTCAAGAGTAAAAAACCTTTTTTACTTTTAGAACTTTTATATAACAATAAATGTATTGAAGGAAAGTATTGGATAATATTATGAAGTGTTCAAAATGCCAATTTCACAATGGGAAGGAGAGTTCAAAATAGAGAAAAAAGAAATTTGTTTTTGAATTTTTTAAAATTTCGGACATCCGGATTGCTAAAAAAAAACCCTCCCCCAATATGTCCGAGTTTGTCCTGATTTTCCAACCCCCCCCCTGGCTCGGACATCCTTTGTGATTGGCCCCTTAGTTGTTCTTCACACGTAGAAGTGTAATGTTAGTTGTTGTTGGTAGGCAACAAGTTTTTGTTGGTAGGGATCATAGATATCTTATATACACTAGATAGCGCATCTCGTTTAGCAAAATTGAAGCCAAGGATATTCCAGCGGTTACCCCCATTTGAATAGATGGCGGCCATGTTGGTCGTTCCCACTTGCTAATAAACGCTTAAAAAACAACAATACCTTTCATCATTTGAATAGTTTGAAAACGTATTTGGAATAGGGTTAACTTAATGTTTAAGTTCCCTGTTTAAGAAATAGAAAACAAACGAATCTTCTCATTTCATGGGAACGACCTGAGACTGCAATCACGGCTTCAATTTTTGAATTGCAGAATAATTAGATTCACTATCTAGTGTATATAAGATATCTATGATAGGGCTCGGACATGAAAAATAGAAGGAGAATTTCTCTTGAATCTCCTTGTATTTTTCAGGTACCCTGTAATTGCATTCATACCAAAGAAAGCTTGTTCATATTATTGGTACTATACCTACACTTGCACAGACAGTTCTAGATTATATTCTGTGACAGCCTAACAGGACCTGTCAAGCCTACTCCAGTTAAGCGTAGGTTTGTGATTGGGCTCAAGATCACAGAGAAGCATATTTGTGCACGAAACATGGGAATATAAACTTCATGTGCGCTGGTCATGCTAAAACAGGCAAACGTGATCAAAGGCCGTCGAGGCCGACTCGCGGATGAGATCAAATGAAAGTGACAGAAAATTTGAGCAGTTTGCAGTTGTTTTTGCAAACGGGCAACATGCAAATTTTGTCATTGTCGCGCTTCTTTTATTGCCGATTGCCAAATCAAGAGAACGGGTGTCTGCTCCAGCTCGATTTCCGGTCTCGAAAGGCCCGATTTGCAGGCAAACAGTGCGCGCAAAGCAGGCTAGTCATTTCCCATTGTTTAACTGCCTCACACTCAAGTAACCACAAAGACTCACAGCAATCCGTGAGTCAAAAAGGGGATAGTGCAATAAACAATAAAGTGTTTTGATTGAGCTGTGACAAGTCTACAATCACTTACTTTTATCCCCAAACAGACCGCCCATATCATTGTCAGTCAGATAGCGCTCATATACAGCCAGGGAACTAATAGCAAACTCTGCCGACCCGAGTTTCGAGTCCTTCATCTTTTTCCCAATGATAAATTCCGAGCTTGCCTTTCGGGCAACAATTGGGACGCTCTTCGGTAACTTCGTAGCTCCTCGGAAATTACCATCCATGTAGAGTGTTAGGCCTTTTGCCAGACTCCAAGATAAAGCGACACGTTGCCATCTAGAAAAAGAGGAATACATTTTTGCTTAAGAGCCGACTTACTAAACCAAACTAAATTTATACTAGATATAACAGTTCTAAAAGCTCTAACAGTTCTAAAACTATCTCCCTAGAAGTCCAGTGAGGTCATCTCTAATTGATCCAGTGTTGCTACAGGAGGAAACCTAAACTAAACTAACTTTATTTATACTGGACAGCTCTATCAGTTCTAAACTAGCTTTTCTGCAGTAAAAGTCATCTGTTATTGATCTAGTGTTATCACAGGGAAAATCTAAATTAAACTAACTTTATTTATACTGGATAGCTTTATCAGTTCTAAACTGTTCTTCCTAGAGGAGGTTCAGTAAGGATAATCTCGTATTGATCAAGTGTTACTACAGGAGGAAATTTAAATTAAACTAACTCAATTTATACTGGATAGCTCTACCAGTTCTAAACTGTTCTCCCTAAAGGTTCAATGAGGATCATCTCTTATTGATCCAGTTCTAGTGTTAATACAGGAGGAAACCTAAACTAAACTGACTTAATTTATACTGGATAGCTCAGTTTTAAAATGTTCTCTCTAGAGTAAGGATGGAGGGGGAAGAACAGTTTAAAGGCTGATTTCCACTATTGCGTTTTTCATATAAATAAAGCAACAGAATTTAGTGTTCCGCAAGTTTTAGTATGCATTTGTTAACTTATTTGTAAAATATTTAAAAAATAGAAGGATTCAAAGATTTACGTGCGTGTATGTGCGTACGAAACACGCAACAGTGGAAATCAGCCTTAAAACTGATAAAGCTATCCAATCTAAATAGTACTAGTGTGTACAATTCACAGACTTTCCGTTGTAGTCCGTACAATGATTTATCATAATATTAATATCTAACCTTATGGTATAAAGAGGTGCTCTCACAGTCCATTTCAGAGTGTCTTCATTCGTACTCATCAAGACATCAAAATACAGATTATTATTCACGATGTAAGTTGAAATACCCGAAACATCGTCTCCGCTGCGTAGGATGTACTTAGGATCTGTGTACGAACGAACAATCTAAAAAATTGAGACACTGACATGTTAAAAGATCAGCCTTCATGGAAAGCACAAAACGCGATTTTGTTGCTTGCATTAATACTTTATTTTGAGGCTAAGCAGAAAGTTTCAATAGAATAGAACAGAATAGAAACTTTATTTCACGAGGGAAAACGTATTTACCGTAAAAGTTATCTAACATACGGCCCTCGCACTATTTTGATATTTATTAGAAGATTATTAAAAGTATTAAAGATTACGACTATTTACATACAATTTACTAAATATTTACAATTTATACAAAATAGATCTTCGATATGGTTAGTAAGGTTAAGCCTGTTAAGAAAGATTTTATGAATTTTTTGTTTGGCGTTAGTATATGAAGAAGCAATTAAAAATGGAAGCACTGTACAGAAATGTTCGTTTGCCAGAGTCAATCAAGTAAGTACATAAGATGATTACCTTATTGAACTTGAGCTTGCAGCTGTAGCTGAATCCTGAGTGACATTTGGCAGGATTGCTCAAACATTCCTTGTTGAAATCTCCAGCGTCGATAAAACTGTCTTCACCAGCGTTCACGAATAACCCACCATCAATAGGCTTCACTGAACCTTTCACTTGAATTGAGCCAGTGTTTGGAATAACAGCTCTGAAAGAAACATGTCACCGTTAGAAACCTCGCCAAAACAAGTTGTTATCATCTTGTTACAAGCTTGATCACGGTAACAGATTTGCTACAACTTGTTCCAACAACTCTACAACAAGCTGCTCTTAACATGTTGATGACAATGATGTTGGTCTCATCAATCTATTTATTTACAACATTCGCCGAACATAACAGACATAAATTAGACTAGACAAAATTACATACAACACAGGCAAGGAATGATCACAAAGGCAATCTTGTTACAAGATGATAACAACTTGTTCCAAACTTGTCCACAACTGGGAACAAACATTGTAAAATGAAGAAAATATAGCCTTGTGAAGTTCACAAGTTTTGTATATATTTTTAAAAAACTCATTAATAATTCATGAAGAAAACACAAAGAAAAATCATAAGCGTGTCGTATCTGTATATGTGATACAGATTCATGTTGGTTTACATAAACTTCAACTTTGATTTTCTCGGCTCAGGCAACGTTTACTTTTAAAATTACTTCGCCAATGAACTCATAAGAAGTGTCGTTTTTTAAGCCATTTACAACATTCGCGTCCGTGTTGTATTGGATATACAAACTCTCGCCTAATTCGGCTCGAGTTTGTATATCCGATACAACACGGCCGCTCATGTTGTAAATAGTACATATTACGCGCGGTAAAATTAATAACCACCTTCGGCTCGAAATGGTTATATTCCCCGCACGTAATTCAAATATATACAAAATTTGCGAACTTCACAGGGCTCTTTTTTCCCTCCTTTTACAATAATTCGAAACCAAATTTTGCAATTTTACTAATTTTCAGACGATCTTTCCAGCTATGGTAATGACTTCGTTCTTCTTGCCTAGATCAAAATTTCGTCTATAGCTATAGAATCACTGATACATTAAATTCAGCGCTTGAGAAGAATCTCACCTTTTGCCTGAAGCAGCCAACTTCGACAGAAGCCATCTGTAGCTGGGCAACACTAATAGAAAGAAGAAACAATGGATAATGGACACATGTGTGCAAATATAAAAATTACTAGCAATGTTGAAAAAGACATCTTGATAAATTACCTGTGTCGTCGTAAGTGAAGACAAAAGGAATATTTTCTGAGCTCAAAACTCGAGGGTAAACTGAGACTGAACTGATGTACATCCTGAAAACAGAGAATGAAAGATACAGTTAACACGTTAAGTTTCATTGCACCCTACTTTATCATTTCACTCTAACGCCAGACGACTTTACTTGTCAAGAGAAGAGCGCAAAGGCTCAATAGTTCATTTTTTTTCGAGATCCCATCTTACTGTGACATACTGCAATGTTATTCTCTAAATGACTAGATTTATACATTTCTATTATTATTTTGTAGTTTCCAAGTTTCATTCACACACAGAATAGAAACACTGTGATACATTTGAAGGCATACAAAATAATATTAAGTTACATTGCACCCCAATTATGTATCATATTATTTTACTCTGTCTAACGCCAGATGATTTTACTCGTCAAGGGAGGAGCACTGATTCCCAATGGGTTCATCAGACTATCTGTTCATGTGTGTAGTAATAACCCATGGAATTGCATTGCGCCTTACTGTGCCCTACTTGAGTACTTTACTCTGTCTAATGTCTGATGATTTTACTCGTCAAGGGAGGAGCACTGATTCCCAATGGGTTCATCAGACTATCTGTTCATGAGTGTAGTAATAACCCATGGAATTGCATTGCGCCTTACTGTGCCCTACTTGAGTACTTTACTCTGTCTAATGTCTGATGATTTTACTCGTCAAGGGGAGAGCATGGTGCTCAACGGGTTCAGCATGCCCATGTGTATAGTTAACCATTAGTTACTTTGTATAGACGTCGTTCATGCTCTTTCCAATCAGTAAATGCGTTTGCTCGTCTTTGACTGGCGATATTTTGAATCCGTGCTTCACCCGGTCCTTGAACGCTCCATTCACATACAGGCTCAGTCCTTCGCCTCGCTTCCATGTCATCACAATATCTTGCCATTCATTGGTCATAAGATCTGTGGCTAGTTCCCAGGCTTTAGCGCCGGTGCTGACGCGATAATGTAGCGAGTTATCCAGGATGTACACAGATACCCCTCGCTTTCCCCCACTTGTGTCTATCACAATGTGTTTCTTTTTGTACGATTTTGATTTGTCATCGAGATTTATCTGAAATGAAAAGGTTGCTGTCATTGGAACAATTATTAGGCTTCCACCTATAACAGATAATCCTTTATGGAACTCTAGGAAAAACAGTTTAGAACTGATAGAGCTATTCGGTTTAAATAAAGTTAGTTTAGTTTAGGTTTCTTCCTGTGGTAACACTGGATCGTTAAGGAATGATTCTTACTGGACCTCTAGGAAGAACAGTTTAGAACTGATAGAGCTATCCAGTATAAATAAAGTTAGTTTAGTGTAGGTTTCCTCTTGTAGTAACACTGGATCAATAACAGATGATCCTTACTGGACCTCTAGGAAGAGCAGTTTAGAACTGATTTGGCTATCCAGTATAAATAAAGTTGGCTTAGTTTAGGTTTCTTCCTGTGGTAACACTGGATCGATAGGGAATGATCCTGACTGGATCTCTAGGAAGAACAGTTTAGAACAGATAGAGCTATCCAGTATAAATAAAGTTGTTTAGTATAATTTAAACAAACCTGCATCGAAACAGACAATCCTTTGATACAAAGCTCAGGATCAGAGAAACATTTTCCATGGAAGTCTCCTCCATCCAACCAAGCATCGACACCATTAAGTTCAATGCCCCCCTGAACCTGGCGAACGTGCCCATGAGGCTCAGCGTGATCGGTACCGCGGGTGAGACCAGCGGTTGTCTTAAGAAGAGGCCAGAAGTAAACAGGAACGGCTAAAAATAATAAAAAAAACTTGAATTAATAAACAGAAAGCATTGGTGATAGAAGTGGTTCTACTCCACAGTTACCTGGCGATGAGCCACCAATGGGAGAGAGATCTTCCAGCAAACTATCCTGAGTCTGATTTTTCAGCAGAGCTGCTACAGGAGGAGAAATTACACCATCCATTCTTTCTTGTGTCGAACCTCTTGGAGCTGAAAAGAAATTGTATTTAAATAAAGTTATGACCATATGAAATTTTGCCACCGATGTAAACATCGAACTTGAAACTAACTCAGTTCTAAACTGTTCTTCCTAGAGATCTCTAGGATAATCTCTTATTGATCCAGCGTTACTACAGGAAGAAACATAAACTAAACTAACTTTATTTATACTGGATAGCTCTATCAGTTCTAAACTGTTCTCTCTAGAGGTCCAATAAGGAGCATCTCTTATTGATCCAGTGTTACAACAGGATGAATCCTAAACTAAAGTAACTTTATTTATACTGGATAGCTCTATCAATTCTAAACTGTTCTTCCTAGAGATTTCTAGGATAATCTCTTATTGATCCAGTGTTACTACAGGAGGAAACCTAAACTAACTTTATTTATACTGGATAGTTCTATCAGTTCTAAACTGCTCTCCTTGGAGGTCCAGTAAGAATCATCTCTTATTGATCCAGTGTTACCACAGGAGGAAACCTAAACTAAACTAACTTTATTTGTACTGGATAGCTCTATCAGTTCTAAACTGTACCCCAGCATCTCTTTACTAGAGGCCAAAACAATGAAGGAACTTACATTTTTTGCAAATAAAGTCATGTGTCTTTTTACACGATTCGTCGCGCCATGAACCGCTGGGTGATGTAACGAGGGCGCAAGACACACCGCCATTGTTTGGCGAAGCTTCGTTCCAGTTTGTATATGACGACGTCATCTTATCAGTCCAGGTCCAGTCTCCTTCGCTCTCACGGTCATTGTAGCCAATCCACAGAGTGTCATCGGAATAGACCTTAAAATAAAATAGAACAAAGTAATTTTTATTTAATCTCTAGACTCTAGGGAGAGCAGTTTAGAGCAGTGTAATAACACTGGGTCAATAAAAGACGACCCTTATTGGACCTCTAGAAGAACAGTTTAGAACTGATAGAGTTATCCAGTATAAATAAAGTTAGTTTAGTTTAGGTTTCCTCCTGTAGTAACACTGGATCAATAAGAGATGATCCTTATTGGAACTCTAGAAGAACAGTTTAGAACTGATAGAGTTATCCAGTATAAATAAAGTTAGTTTAGATTTCCTCCTGTAGTAACACTGGATCAATAAGAGAAGATCCACCTTGAAGGGCCAAAAGTGACCTAATTACCTGAGAGATCATGATTTGTTCGTCATCGCTCAAAATGCTAGCAAGGTTCCCACCATCTTTGCTGCAAGTTTGCGAGGCTTCCTTCCATGTTCGCGTTTTGTCGTAAAGACGGTAACAACCTTTGAGTGATGATAACGTGAGCAGTTTCCAGCCACTTTTTGCGTCACAATCTATATAAGTAATATCGTAGCCGTGATTAAACTTTCGTACAACTCTTGTAATTCTCGTTTGATCAAGTAATGAAAGTTGAGAAAACTCTCATGTAAACTCTCGCTTGTCAACTCTAATGCAATTAATTCTTGGGTTCGTTTGATCAAGCAATGAAAGTTGAGAAAAATCTCACCCAAACTCCCTCTTTTTCTCAAACTAACATAGCTAATGTCACTATACTCACCCCCAGTTTTCTTGCAGAGAAACTTGTGTTTCACATTGCAAGGAACATCTCTCCATTTCCCCTCGTCCGAATCCAAGATGACGCAATCGGTTTGCTTTTGATCTGCTTTACTTGGCGTATCCCAGTTTGTATACACTGTCGTACTGCCATCTACCCAAGACCACGTGCCATCGCTCGCCTTGTCCTGGTAACCAATCCACAGCTGAGAGTTTGCGAGACTATCAATGAATCTGCGAGGATGAAAATTTCACAACAATAAGTAAATAGCCTAGGAGGAGCAGCTTAGGCAGAAATGATAGATAAAGCTAATTAAAAATAATTATAAATAAAGCTAATTTTTAGTTCATGTTTCCTCCTGTAGTAACATTGGATCAATAAGAGAAGATCCTTACTGGACCTCTAGGGAGAACAGTTTAGAACTGATAGAACTATCCAGTATAAATAAAGTTAGTTTAGTTTAGGTTTCCTCCTGTAGTAACACTGGATCAATAAGAGATGATTCTTACTGGAACTCTAGGGAGAACAGTTTAGAACTGATAGAACTATCCAGTATAAATAAAGTTAGTTTAGTTTAGGTTTCCTCCTGTAGTAACACTGGATCAATAAGAGATGATTCTTACTGGAACTCTAGGGAGAACAGTTTAGAACTGATAGAACTATCCAGTATAAATAAAGTTAGTTTAGTTTAGGTTTCCTCCTGTAGTAACACTGGATCAACATGAGATGATCCTTATTGGAAGTGGTTTATTTGACAGATTTAGTAGCAGTTACGCTAATTTACAATGTGTTTACAATAATATTTATTGGACTTCTAGGGAGAACAGTTTGGAATAAAATAATAATAACTTTATTGCTATTTTTCGGGTTCAAAGTTAGTTTAATTTTAGTGTCTACTCTAATTTCTAATAATTTATTCAACATACCGCTGCTCATAAGCGTTCCTGACGCTGAATAAATCACCACCGAAATTGGTACACGAATCACGCGCGTTCTTCCACGATAGAGGTTTGTATACCACTTGGTAACAAAAGTTGGCAAAGTCCCCTGATGCTCCTTTCCATCCCTCATCACACTGCATGTCTGAAACAAAATTAGCGAACTTAATCAAAGCCTTATCCAGTAAGAGGACATCAAAACAGAGAGCCTTAAAATATACACTTTTAGTTATAACGACAAAATTTATCAACCATAAGCTTTTTGGAACTTGAAAAAAACAGAACTGAGATGCAATGATGACGGCAGTTAAAAAAATAATAATAATGTGGAAAAGAAATATTTTTTTTAAATCGAGAGTTTTAATTTAAGGTCCATACACACGGACGCTATTCGACAACGTGACGCGAATTTTCGATTTTCACTGAACGATAACTTTGATCCTAGTTTAAATTCTCCAAATATTTAGAAGCGTTAGAACATTTTGAGTTATTTGGTCTGTATATCTTTTAAATTTTTCTCTCATTGGCTGTTTTATTAACTTTCAAAAACTAAAAAATCGCGTCGCGTTGTCGAATCGCGTCCAGTGTGTATGGACCTTTAGACGTGGTCTTCATTCTGTTTACAATAGCAAATCGCAGACTATCCCCACATGTTTTGTATGCAACATTTGATGGGTTTAACACTTGATAGTGTTGGGAACGCATTAAGAACAGCTAACCCAGCTGATCGCGTGACTACCAATTTGATTTGGGCTTAAAATCGTATCTCACCCAAATCCAATCTAGTCCAATCTAATCCAATGAGGAAATCCCTACCTGGCTGTGGCCGGATTAAGTTTTTCTTCAATACTGGAACAACATAGTTCTGCTCGGGTTCATAGCCTGCGCTCGGGTTGGTAGGGAAAGCATTCTGTGATACACCTGCTGGAACAGCGGCCGGGACAGCTGGATTGTAGGGTTGCGCCTGATTTACAGGTTGCGCCTGATTTACAGGTGGAGCCTGATATGCGGGTGGAGCCTGATATGCAGGTGGAGCCTGATTCGGCGCCTGTTTCATCGGTGTGTCGAATTGCATGCCTTCAGGTGGAAGAGGCTGGGGGTAGGGGTCCGAGGGAGAAGGAAACTAGATATGGAGAAACAAAGGTTAACATATAAGTTAAAATGCAAAAACCATGAAATACTTTAATCTCTCTTTCTTTTAATGAATACTACCCACACTGGACCACCACATTTGGGATATCTTTTTCAGGTAGTTCAGACACAAACCACGGCAGTTTGTTGCAGAATACTACCTACACTGGACCACTAGATTTGAGATGTCTTTTTCAGATAGTTCAGACACAAACTACAACAGGTTAATTTAGAATACTATCTACACTGGATCACCACGAGAGATACCACGGCTGTTTATTTTAAACAATATTTTACCTGTCGACTCTGAGCATTCTGACCCACATGCGACGACGATCTTAGTCGAGCTGAAGCAAAAAATGGCAGTGTTGATAGACATAATCAACTTTTTAAAGAGATTATGTATAGTATATTCATGCACTTTGTTTAGAATAACATTACTTTTTATAGTAACATGGATGACATTACATTTAATATCTGACACAAACCTTGTGATACTTTTGCCTTCTGTGGATTTGAATAAGCTGTAGGAATTCCAATCTGCATATCTTGAACAGGAGATACCTTTTCTTTTAAAGTTGATTTATCTTTCTGTTTGTCAACCAGGGGTGTTGGAGATTTATCTGATGTTTTATCTCCTGCATTGCTGTATTGAGCTGTAAATGAAGCACCTGAAAAAATACACACATAATAATTGCTATGATGTTAAACATTTTAACTAAAGTTAAACTAAAAGCTCTTATCAAACTTAAAGCTCTTATCAAACTTAAAGCTCTATCAGTTGTAAACTGTTCTTCCTAGAGGTCCAGTAAGGATCATCTCTTCTTGATCCAGTGTTACTACAGGAGGAAACCTAAACTAAACTAACTTTATTTATACTGGATAGCTCTATCAGTTGTAAACTGTTCTTCCTAGAGGTTCAGTAAGCATCATCTCTTATTGATCCAGTGTTACTACAGGAGGAAACCTAAACTAAACTAACTTTATTTATACTGGATAGCTCTATCAGTTCTAAACTGTTCTTCCTAGAGGTCCAGTAAGGATCATCTCTTATTGATCCAGTGTTACTACAGGAGGAAACCTAAACTAAACTAACTTTATTTATGCTGGATAGTTCTATCATTTCTAAACTGTTCTTCCTAGAGGTTCAGTAAGGATCATCTCTTATTGATCCAGTGTTACTACAGAAGGAAACCTAAACTAAACTAACTTTATTTATACTGGATAGCTCTATCAGTTCTAAACTGTTCTTCCTAGAGGTCCAGTAAGGATCATGTCTTATTGATCCAGTGTTACTACAGGAGGAAACCTAAACTAAACTAACTTTATTTATGCTGGATAGCTCTATCAGTTCTAAACTGTTCTTCCTAGAGGTCCAGTAAAGATCATCTCTTATTGATCTTGTGTACTACAGGTGGTAACTTACACTAAACTGTTCTTCTTAGAGGTCCAGTAAGAGTCATCTCTTATTGATCCAGTGTTACTACAGGAGGAAATCTACACTAGACTAACTTTATTTATACTAGATAGTATAAATAAAATTAGTTCTTCCTTGGGGCCCAGTAATCATCTGTTATTGATCCAGTGTTCAACAGCCAACAGGAGGAAACTAGTGGGGTACTTGGAGGAAATTAGCATAGCTTGGTAAAGTCAAACTAGAAACACTCTTTGCACATGACTGAGGTGAAATTATAATCAGACAACTGTCTGTGTCAGTAGGTAATGCCAATAATATGAACAGGCTTTCGTTGGTAGCGATGTAACTACCTGAAAAATATAAGGAGAATTTCCTAACTGCATACCTTTGTTTGTTCCCCTAGCAACCTCTGACGTCAGCATGTTGGAGGGATTATTACGGTTCCCATGATGCAACGGTGGCAGGTCAGCATGATGTAACGGTGGTAGGTCAGCATGATGCAGCGGTGGTAGGTCAGCATGGTTCAGCGGTGGTAGGTTGAAGGTATGCGTATTGTCTGGGCGGTGCTCGGGTACTTCGTGTAAGAGAGGTGGTAGGGCTTGTGGGATATTTTTGATAACTATGGAATAGAAATGCGCAAATGATAACTAGTTGAAGTTACGAAATGTTTGCGCAATTATTACATAAAGACGTTTATAATTATGTTATAGTAACGTGTCCATTCGTCAAAGATGACAAATGCTGTCCACGGGGTACAGGGTACTCAACGCCACGCGTGCAACGTCGACCACGCGTGTTGCGTGTAGCACCACTAATCTCGCGCGTGGACAAAATTTCCGCGACACAGACCTAAAACTGTAGGGAGCCACCTTAATTTACAGAAACTTTAGCTTTGATTTCTCGACTTATTTTTAAAATTACATCGCCGATGAATTCATATAATAGGTTGTTTTTCAAGTACTATTTAAAGCACTCGTCGGAGTGTTTTATCACATATAAAACACGACGCGTAGCGGAGTGTTTTATATGTGATAAAACACGACTACAAGTGCTTTAAATGGCGAACTTATACGAGTTCATTGGCGAAGTAATTTTTAAAATAAACTTTGTCTAAACCGAGAAAATCAAAGCTAAAGTTTAGGTCAATTAACGTGATTTTTTATCACATATAAAACCACGACACGCTTATGATTTTTCTTTGTGTTTTGCTCCTGAATTATTAATGAGTTTTCAAGCCATTTAAAACACTCGCAAGTCCGTGGTTTATCAGATTTAAAACGCTCGTGCTACGTTCTCGTGTTTTATATCTGACCAATCATCCCTGTTTGTGTTTAACTCTTGGAACCATTCCAGCCAATATTGCGAAGTTAATGCACACTGACAAAACAAACTTTGTCACCCCCTCTTTCAGAAAAAATTACCTCGTGAAACACGGCTTTGTTTTAGAACTATACAACTCGCACATTTGTAAAATAAATTGAATTTATGAAACTTTAAATTCATATATATATATATACAACTTTACAGTTAGTGATTAGTTTCAGCAGATGACGCTCAGAACATAATTGATTTAATAACTAAACACTGTAGCAGCCTAGACTTTCTATTAATATTTATATCACTCGTATTATAAGGCCGATCTAGGCCACACAATTTCTGCCTCAAACTGTCGCATGCAACATTCTTGCAACTTGAGTTGTACTGTGTAAATCAAACACACAACTCACCTGCGACAACGTGAACGAGTTGTACAGTTTATTGACACAGTACGACTCAAGTTGTAAGCAGGTTGCATGCGATAGTTTTAGGCAAAACTTTGTGTAGTCTAATGGTCCATACAGACCGAACGCGATTCGACAACGCGACGCAAATTTTCAGTTTTTAAAAACAAATAAAACCGTCAACAGATAAAAATTTTACAAGATATACAGACCAAATAGCTAAAATTGCCTAAGTGGTTCTGAATATTTGAAAAACATAGAAAAATATTGAAATGTCAAATGAAATGTCATTGAAAATTGAAAAGTCGCGTCGCGTTGCTAAATCGCGTCCGGTCTGTATAGACCTTAAATCGGCCTTTAAAGATGAACACTTGCAGAAAAGAACAATGCACACATTGGTTAAAACAACCAACAGATTGGTTTTCTCAGATACATTTTGAATCCGAGATCACCAACTTATTGCTTGTTGTAGAACCAGTCTGTTCTTATGGTAAAACTGTTCTTAGCCAATCAAAATAATTTGGTCATGTTTATTATAATTACAGTAAATGTTCATTCTCTGGTACTGAAATTGGACTGAAGCAGTAATATTTTATATTTATAGTCTTTAAAGTATTATACAGTAGAGACGCTTATTTACTGATTAGCCCAAAGACATGCGCGTTCGTGTTTACACGCGTGTTACGCGCGATCTTCGAGACCTCCACGCGAGTTTAGTCCTTATGATGAGCATGTCGCTTCACAACTAGAACGAAGAGAATGTGTGATTTAGAATTACGTCATCATCACATTCTCAAGAATGTTGATAGTGTGTGTGAAAAAATGAATTTACATGAAGTATGTCAAGTCGACGTCAAGCCTGACCGCTGACAACATTTTGGAAGATTGCAGGCAGACGTTGCGTTGGTGCGTGACGTAAGGGTCACGTGTTCGTGACGTCATAGTTACGTGATTGTAACCGTGTCATGTTCAAAATCTGTGCTAATAGATTCATGGTGTAGTTTGACCGGATTTTTTTTTGAAAATTACATGAACTCAAGTCTTGGGCTAATACAGCAATTAAGCGCATCTATTTCTGCCCAATATACGTCAAAAACAACACACATTTTATTGTTAAAATATGGCGTTTTTAGTAAGTACACAAGTCGGTCGTTGTTTGTCTTGTCAGCAGTTTTGGTTGTTGAGGTTTTAGCGTTTAAGTGGTAGTTTAAAAATGTATTAGAAATAGTTATCACAATGTTAGTTGCAGTGAAGTTAGTGCGGATGAAAATTAGTGTCTAGTGAGTTTTCTTAAACAGTATATGCAACCTAATTCTCATTTTGAAGAAATTTTGAAGAGTTCTTTCACGAAAACTTGAGGTTGATCGATGTATATTTTTGAAGATATACTCTTCCAAAGATGAAAAGTTACAAAAATTCGATTAAAAGTTCCAAAAATTCGCGAAAAAATGGAATTCTGGCTTTTTGACTTCAGCATTGCTAAGAAAATAGTAAAATATCCAAAGCCTTATTACATCGACAGTCATAAAAGTCAAACAAATTCATTCTACATGACGTTTATAATGCATTCATTTTTTAAGTGTCATAGTTTAGCTTTATATCGTATCTTACGGTTTGATTTGGTTTGGTTCAGTTGAGTTTATTCTAGTTTAAGTTCATTCCAGTTTAAGTTCATTCTAGTTTAAGTTCAAATCAATCTGGTTTAGTTTCACAGTTAGGTTATAAAAGTCAAAAATAATGTCACGTTTAGTGTCGTTTTTGATGCGAAACAGTTTGTCTATCAGTTTTAAGTAAAATGGTTGTGTTGCCGTGAAACACACGTACTATTGTGCAGAATTAGGTGGCTTTTATCAACATTCTCGAGAATGAGGTTGAATCATTATGAATCAATTTAATTATATTAATTACTCTTCATTATATTAATTACTCGTTCAACATTTATAATGATATAATTAGCAGCTAATTAGTTAGAATTTAAGAATGATATTAGAGGTTAAATATAAATTTAAAGGCTCGTATTTAGTAGATGTGGATCGATTATTGTGAAGATGGTTGGAGGTGGAGTTAATGAATAAAAGTGCTTACCTTTACTCCGGGAGTCAAGCTGTTGAAAGGATGCAGCAGGATCAACTGATTCATGTGACTGCAAGAAGTTAGCACTTTCAGCTAAATTGAACACAACAATAATTAACGACTGTCAGGGTAACTTCGTCAAACAAGTGTTAAAAAAAATTTTGCCCTAAACTTTTTGAAAAAAAACTTTGTTCTGAATAACAATGAGATGGCCTCTTAATACAAGTTCTTGATTTCCTGAGGTCTTCTCGTCACTCTCTTTCCTTTCAATTTGACATACATATATACAAATATACCTAAATTTTATTACAATCAATGTAAATAACTGAATGAAGTGGTAAATAAATTGAATTGAAAAAAAACATGATTTACTATGATAATACACGAGTTTCACTAAGCATTGTCGTGCAGCAGATTGGTGGTCAACCTGTATTTATCAGAGTGAGAAAATAATGTCACTGCTTTACATTATATGTATATGTATATATCTTGTGTTTATATCATATTGTAATACAAATAATTAGCCATTTCCCAAAGTCTTGGCTCTAGTCGTGCGAATCCCATGTTGGCAGGACAAGAAATATGGCAGCACACATTTAAATTAAATGTTCAATGTAAAAAGAAGATATTTAATTTCTGGTCGTCTAAAAAGTTGATATTTGATAGCAGATACTTCTACTCTTTCATATATTTGGCGCATGTCACCATATATTTTGTCCCTCCAAACGATCCCAGAATGCAATGTGATATCTTTTGGGAAAGGGCTAATCAAATGATATACTATATAGTTTAATTTCTTGTACAAGTTGGTTACCATTATTCCATTACAGGTAAACTACGTGAAGCGTTCCTCTTTCGAGTTCTAAATTGATTGCAATTGTCCTCATTATTTTTGCAATTTAAAAAACTCCCTTGCAAATCCCTTGAAGGAATTTGCAATGTTGCTAAAAGCCAATTAAATTTTCCTCAGTTCCTGTTAGAAGTTCTTACCATCCTATTACAAGTTCCTAACTTCCTGTTCTGTTCCGGGCGTTGCAATTGGCTAACAAAAATAATCGACCAATAACAACGCTCAGAAGAGAACAGGAAGTTAGGAAATTAAAACAGGAAGTTAGGAAAATTTAAAATGAAGATCGTTGCATTGAAATATTGCAACAGCCGATAGGAATATGGCAAATTCCCTCAGGAAATTTGCAAAGAGTTTTTCAAATTTGCAAAGCTAATGAGGAAAATTCCAAATGAGTTATGAAGTCAAAAGAGGAACGCTTCACGTAGTTTACCTGTAAGGGCGGTTGTTCAAAACCCTCGGTTAAAATATAACCTGCTGTTTTAGTTCATATATTTGAGAAGAAAACTCATAGTGGTCCAGACAAGATTTCTGAAATGAGCATCACAAAATTAGTAATATTCCGAAGTTTCGCTAAGAAATGTTGTAAAATGCGGATAATATAGCCTTGCGAAGTTTGCCGTTTTTCAGTCATTTTGTATTACGCATGGGAAATTGACAGCCCAATCGGGTATTGGGGCATCAATTTCCCGTTTGTAATACAAAATGACTGAAAATTGTTACATATTCTCATACCTCCTGGTTGTTGGACTTCGGCTGGAACTGCGCCCTGTTCAGCGCCAGGTCTCTGTGTAGTACTTGGTATAGTAGACTTGTATTGCGTCACTTGAGCGGCCAGCGCTTCCGGTCCTGTCTGCATTTTCGGAACTGCCGCTGGGCGGACTACGTTACTGCGAGCTCGGGCTGAGAAAATAGATAAACATATGAATTAATTACAGAATGCTTTGATATATTATCAGTAACAAAAACAAATTTATGGACAGCTCTATCAGTTCTAAACTGTTCTTCATAGAGGTCCAGTAACGGTAATCTTTTATTGATCCAGTGTTACTACAGGAAGAAACCTAAACTAAACTAATTGTATTTGTACTGGATAGATCTATCAGTTCTAAACTTTCTTCCTAGAGGTCCAGTAAGGGCCATTCCATTTAATATCCACACACACCCCCCCCCTACGGATGAGGTCAGTAAAATTTTAACCCCTAAGAAAAAAAAGATCAAAGTGCCGACACAAAACACCCCTCAGAAATTTGTACATTTTCCCCTTACCCCTCAGAAAAATCGCAGAGATCAAAGGATGCCGACAGGCTTAACCCCTCAGAAACGACTTTTTGAGTCACCCTTCAGAAAAGCTCATCCGTAGAGGGGGTGTGGACATTAAATGCAATGGCCCTAAGGATCATCTCTTATTGATCCAGTGTTACTACAGGAGGAAACCTAAACTAAACTAACTTTATTTATACTGGATAGTTCTATCAGTTCTAAACTGTTTTTCCCAGAGATACGGAGATTGGAGCAATCAAACCCAGTCACAGAAGTGAATCATCTGGGTTTAAATGGGTCTGAATTCTATGCCTGACAGAGACTGGCAGATGCTGACTGTAAGACTGCCCTTGCCTTCAGTTGCATCTCTTACCTGCTGGTGCTCTAGGTATGCTGGCCCTCTTCTTCGCTACCATATCAAACCACTGACTCTTGGTGCGAAGCTGTATGGGCCGTGAGTAACTATCGGGAACATAAGCAATACCATTCTTGCTAGCGATCGGTTTCATGGAGGACCCAGGAATCATATTACGCAGATATTCATACGGATCTGAGGCTTTCTTGGGCACGTGATCGCGCCTTAGGATCTCTGTCAGTGTCTTGTTGTATTTCTGCTCTGGACTTTCCGGAATCTCTGATTTCTTGGACGATGTTCCTGAAAGATTTGTTTAATATAAGTAAGGAAAAAAAATACTGCGGAGGTTGAGGACACTAAAATTAAAGACATTATGAGGTTCTGATCGAGGCCTGTGTCAGGAAGCTATATAAATGATGACTAGTTAACCGCTCTCAACTATTCTGCCTAAAGGTCAACAACTTATCAGATCGTAAAACAACATACCTTCGTTTGTCTCTTCTGGTTCATCAGTCTTCTTCGGGTCATTTATATAGAATGGATAGTTAAACATAGCTGGTGGAGCATAATTCTTGAACTCTGGAATTTTACTCCTCAGATAGCTTTCTGCTTCTTGATAAGCTTTGTTTGCCCATTGCTCGTCCGTCTGCGTGATAACAATAACAATCATTAGCAATGTATTTACACTGGATAACTCTATCAGTTCCAAACTGTTCTTCCTAGAGGTCTAGTAAGGAGCGTCTCTTATTGATCCAGTGTTACTACAGGAAGAAACCTAAACTAAACTAACTTTATTTATACTGGATAGCCCTATCAGTTCTAAACTACTGTTCTTCCTAGAGGTCCAGTAAGGATCATCTCTCATTGATCCAGTGTTACTACAGGAGGAAACCTAAACTAAACTAACTTTATTTATGCTGGATAGTTCTATCAGTTCTAAATTGTTCTTCCTAGAGGTCCAGTAAGGATCATCTCTTATTGATCCAGTGTTACTACAGGAAGAAACCTAAACTAAACTAACTTTATTTATACTGGATAGCCCTATCAGTTCTAAACTACTGTTCTTCCTAGAGGTCCAGTAAGGATCATCTCTCATTGATCCAGTGTTACTACAGGAGGAAACCTAAACTAAACTAACTTTATTTATGCTGGATAGTTCTATCAGTTCTAAATTGTTCTTCCTAGAGGTCCAGTAAGGATCATCTCTTATTGATCCAGTGTTACTACAGGAAAAAACCTAAACTAAACTAACTTTATTTATACTGGATAGCCCTATCAGTTCTAAACTACTGTTCTTCCTAGAGGTCCAGTAAGGATCATCTCTCATTGATCCAGTGTTACTACAGGAGGAAACCTAAACTAAACTAACTTTATCTTTGCTGGATAGTTCTATCAGTTCTAAATTGTTCTTCCTAGAGGTCCAGTAAGGATCATCTCTTATTGATCCAGTGTTACTACAGGAAGAAACCTAAACTAAACTAACTTTATTTATACTGGATAGCCCTATCAGTTCTAAACTACTGTTCTTCCTAGAGGTCCAGTAAGGATCATCTCTCATTGATCCAGTGTTACTACAGGAGGAAACCTAAACTAAACTAACTTTATTTATACTGGATAGCTCTATAGTAAGGATCATCTCTTATTGATCCAGTGCTACTGAAGGAGAAAACTTTCTAAACTAAACTAACATTATTTATACTGGGTAGCTTTATCAGTTCTACATTATTCTAGGGTCATCCCTTCCTTATAAAGCACGACTGCTGACCCACCTGACTGTACTGTGCATTATTTGGATTCATGGCGATTTTATCGCGCTTGTTATTCTGACTGGAATAGAAGCCTTCCAAGGATTCCCCAGAGTTCTTCTCCGAGCGCAGTCGTTCCTTGATAGGGACTGGGATATCAGACTTCTTAGATTGTTGGGCGACAAATTCTTTATAAAAAATAATGAAGCATTAAATTTTATCAATATACGCGTGTTTTACAAAGAATTATCGTGCCGCAGACAATCGTCAACAAGCAGGGATCGGAGTAATACAATTTTGCGGTAGTCATAATTACCTTTCTTAGCGCTGTCCAAAGCTTCTCCAAAAAGTTTCTTTGCAACATTACGATACAGCGACACATAGCGAGCGATGTCCTTGAGGTCAATTTTAGGGTAGGCTGCGGGTATCGCGGGTTGAGGTCGAGGGATTGAATTCTTCTTTGTTCTTTGCTCATTGAAGAGTTCTTGTTCCGCTAAATCTTAAGACAAAGAAACAAGTACAGGGTCTATGTTGATTGAATTTGTAGGAAACAACTAGTAGTTCAAAAAATCATTGGCTACCTCCAATGTTTAACGATTTAGGTATGTTATCCATTACTGTTCACAATTATACCTTTAGCCAACTCATCGCTATCATCATCCTCCTTGCTGTCGTCACCCTCGCTCCCAGATCCCTTTGCTTTCTTCTCGTCTTCTTCCTCATCTTCGAATTCTTCTGCTGTTGGTGGGAGATCTTCTCCTTTGCCAGAACCTTTCCCGGAATCTGAAGATCCTGCATCCACGTCTTGGAACTTCTCGTCTTTCTCGTCTTTCTCAGAACTTGAGGGTTTCTTATCTTTTGAATCTACGTTACGAGAAATAGTTTAACACGAGTTCTAGTAAGAATTTGGTAGATGAAATTTGCCGACCAAATTATTGAAGTTTTTTTGTCAGGCTCCATTCAGAGTGAGACGAAGAACAGTAAGAATTAGAAATGAAAATTACTTGGTAGTCATAAAAGATCTTCAAATACAGTTGAAGCTCGAATCTATCTCGAACTTAAATCCATCTCCCGAGAATTTACAAAGACTATTTTAATCATTTTTACTCAATTGTCTCGAACGTGGTTAACTGTTGTTTCCCTTGGCTGCTTGAGATGGCGGAGTTCTACTGTACATTCTGTACAGTCCAAATATCCACTGTACGTACCCGAGCTACCCTCGTCATTCCCAGATGAGACACTAGCCAGATCATCATCATCATCATCATCATCATCAGCGTGCTTGGCTGAGTCGAGTTTCTTGTCAGGTTTTTTATCATCGTCGTCGTCATCATCATCATCGTCTGACTCTTTCTTTCCTAATTGAGTAAGAATAAATAAGAATGTTGTTAACAAGAGTTAAGCCCTGGACAGGCTAGAAAGTTTCCCTCGACAAGTTTTCCTTCTCATGTGTACAGTCAACAAGTTTCCCTTGGCAAGTTTACCTTCTCGTTGGTACAGTCAACAAGTTTTCCTTGACAATTTTCCCTTGACAAGTTTACTTTCTTGTGTGTACGGTCAACAAGTTTCCGTTGACAAGTTTACCTTCTCGTATGTAGAGTCAACAAGTTTTCCTTCGACAAGTTTCCCTTGACAAGTTAACCTTCTCGTGTGTACAGTCAACAAATTTTCCTTGACAAGTTTCCAAAGTGTACATTCTTGTGCGTAAGGTGACGGTCAACAAGACTTTCCTTGACAAGCTCTGTCGCTCGTGTGCACGGAATGTTTTCAAACATTTATCTCATATCAAGGTCTTTTGTTTGCCAAAACCACAAAGTATTTATAATTCATTGTATATTTTTGTACGTTTAACGTGAAATTTTCCTTGGGCGGATGTACACAAGGAGAAATTCTTGTAACAATGCTCCTAGGCAAGGTAAACTTGTCAATATTTTGCCACGTTTTAAAATCACCACGTACCTTTGTCATCTGCCTTTTTGTCATCGCCATCTTTCTGCTCTTTTTTGTCATCAGCTTTTTTATTGTCATCATCCTTTTTATTGTCATCATCATCATCATTGCTTTTTTTAGGACTGCCTGCGACTTTAAATGAATCCTCATCGTCGTCATCATCATCATCTTCCTCATCACCATCTAGAAATCAAGGTAGAGGACATTATTCTTGCTCTAACTTGGCAATTTTGGACTTAGTCGAAGGGAAATTCTGTGGTCCATGGTTTATCTTGCTCACAATATTCATCCCAGAAAAATTGAAGAATTGAATTGGTCGGAAGGTCGACGTCTAAAACAGGTCGTCACCATACAACTCATGTCTTAACTCAACAGAAAGGGTCCCTACCACTATAACCAACTGGTGAACTTACCACAGAATTTGCAGGACTTTCGACACTGAACTTTCATCAAAGTCTTATAATCCGTACAGTAATGGTTCTTTGCAAATTCAGGACAACTGTCATATTTATCCACACATACACCTAGAGATACATAAATGTAAACAGATTACTGAACGGCATATCTCCTGTGCGACTGCATGAAAAGATTGAGATATGCCTCACACGACGATACAAAATATTTGTACTTACTACCTTTTTGACCGTTATCAGTAAGGCCAGACGGAGTTGCAGGGGGCAGTGACGGTGTAGCCGCGTAGTTATAATAACCTAAAAACAACACAATGGATCACTTAGATTTGTTCACTATGTCAACATATTGCTTTATAAAACATTCTTCCTTGATGTCCAGTAACAGTCATCTCTTATTAACCCCGTGTTACTACAGGAAGAAATCTAAACTAAACTAACTTTATTTATACTGTATATCTATCAGTTCTAAACCGTTCTTCCTAGAGGTCCAGTGTAAAGATCATCTCTTATTGATCCAGTGTTACTACAGGAGGAAACCTAAACTAAACTAACTTTATTTATACTGGATAGCTCTATCAGTTCTAAACTGTTCTTCCTAGAGGTCCAGTAAGGATTATCTCTTATTGATCCAGTGTTTATACAGGAGGAAACCTAAACTAAACTAACTTTATTTATACTAGATAGCTCTATCAGTTCTGAACTGTTCTTCCTGCAGGTCCAATAAGGATCATCTCTTATTGATCCAGTGTTATCACAGGAGGAAACCTTAACTAAACTAACTTTATTTATACTGCATAGATCTATCAGTTCTAAACTGTTCTCTTTAGAGGGTCAGTAAGGGTCATCCCTTATCCAGAGGTGATCGCCTGTGTTTGGTATAGTCAAACAGGAAACGCCCTTACAACTGCAGCGAAATTCATCAATATCGTTTAAAGATATAAAACTCACCATTATCAGAGCTAACAGTATATTTTCCATCACCAATTAACGACTTCACTTTCGCTTGCTCCTCGTTTCGTTTTTTAGCTGAATAGAAAACAAAATTTAGCAAAAAAAGAAACTATATGTTGAAGTCTTGAAATAAACAGACGTGTAGTAGAAATGCAAAAAACTAAAACCAGATTTGTCAGTAACCACAATATTATTAGACCAAAGGCAAGAACTAATTATGAAACCCGAACGTTCGCATTCACTTCATCAAAAAATTGGGAAACTACAGATACTAGGGTCATACTTGATACTTCAATTTAAGAAGAAATTTTGTCAAATTTTATTAATTTCACAATAGTACTACATTGTCTCTTTTTCTAAAGTCTGGATGACACATGATATGTCACGAGTGTCCAACTCGAAAACTTCCTGCTACTTTGGACACTGCACACGACTCACTTTCTATAAAAATTTCACTCACGTTTCTTTCTTCTCTTTATTAACTTTATATGTAAATTTAATGTAAATGTCAATTGCAAGCCTGTTTTTCAATAAAATCTGTAAATCAATAAAATCCGTAATCTGTGTCAAATTTTAAAGGGTTAACGCCATCTGACCTTTGTTCAACTTACCCCTGGTATTTTGTACAGAACATAAAACATAAATCATACCTTCTTGCTTAGCAATAAAGAATCTCTTTATCAACTCTGCACCGGGCGAGTGTTTGTTGAGCTGCAGAGGAAATGAGGAACTGCCAGGCTGCACAGGAGCTGCGGGAATGCTGTCCTTTTTGACAGAGCCCTGTTTCTCGTTCGTTCCACCAGTTTGTGGCGCGACTGAAAGTGGACTTGCCGCTGACCAGGCGGCTTGTGATAACGTGGACGGTGATGCTGGAAAGTTACTGCGCATGTCAGCTAAACGAGAAAAATACACAAATATATCTACACAAACGAAAATTAAACTAATCTAAACGAACTTTATTTATTCTGGATAGCTCTATCAGTTCTAAACTGTTTTTCCTAGAGGTCCAGTAAGAATCATCTCTTATTCATCCAGTGTTACTACAAGAGGAAACCTAAACTAAACTAACGTTGTTTATTCTGGATAGCTCTATCAGTTCTAAACTGTTTTTCCTAGAGATCCAGTAAGGAACATCTCTTATTGATCCAGTGTTACTACAGGAAGAAACCTAAACTAAACTAACTTTATTTATTCTGGATAGCTCTATCAGATCTAAACTGCTTTTCCTAGAGGTCCAGTAAGAGTTATCTCTTATTGATCAACTGCTCTCCCTAGAAGTTCAGTAAGGATCATCTCTTACTGATCCAGTAAAATCCAGTGTTACTACAGGAGGAAACCTAAACTAAACTAACTTTATTTATACTGGATAGCTCTATCAGTTCTAAATTTCGACGTTTCGAGCCCTGATCGATTCTTACCATCATTACTTGGTGGTGACATCCCGTTCTGGTCACTTGCAACCATATTGCTCGCTGGAGTCTCAGCGATATTTCCCGCGGCAGTATTTTCTACAGTACTTGGAGAACTCGGCATTTGACTGGCTGCATCGTCACCTTGACTACCTGTGTTCGTGTCAGCAGCAGGAGTCTCTTGTGTTTCTGCAGGAGCAGCCGCTGACGTTTCGCTCGCAGTTTCGCCCATAGCAGTCTCTTCTGATTTGTCTTTAGAATTTGTAGCCTCAGTTTCTCCTTCATTCTCCATTTTGTCATTCGATGACGCATGTTCCGATGACGCTACTGCTGATTTTTGTTCATCACTGACTGCAGGCTCACTTTCCACAGCCTCTGCTGACTGTTTGTCTGAAGGCGCTGGGGACTCCTTTCCCGGAGCAGCAACTGCCGAGTTTTCCTTGTCACTGACAGCAGGCTCAGTTTTAGCTGCTTCCGCTGTTTGTTTGCCCGAAGGCTCAGCATTAGCCGATGCTTGCTCGGACGAAACGACCGCTGATTTTTCAGCATCACTAACTGCAGGCTTATTATTAGTAGCTTCCGCTGTTTGTTCGCTTGAAGGCTCAGGATTAGCCGACACTTGCTTGGATAGAACAACCGCTGGTTTTTCAGCATCACTAACTGTAGGCTCAGTTTTAGCTGCTTCCGCTGTTTGTTTGCTAGAAGGCTCATGATTAGCTGACGCTTGCTTGGACGGAACGACCGCTGGTGTTTCAGTATCATTAACTGTAGGCTCAGTTTTATCTGCTTCCGCTGTTTGTTTGGTTGAAGGCTCAGGATTAGCTGACGCTTGCTTGGACGGAACGACCGCTGGTGTTTCAGTATCACTAACTGTAGGCTCAGTTTTATCTGCTTCCGCTGTTTGTTTGGTGGAAGGCTCAGGATTAGCTGACGCCTTCTCGGTCGAAACTACCTCTGGTTTTTCAGCATCACTAGCCGCAGGCTCATTCTTGGAAGCTTTCGCTGACTGCTTGTCTGACGGCTCAGACTTAGATGGTGCGACCGCTGGATTTTCTTCACTCATTGAAGATTCATCCGCTGATTCTTTGCTTGAAGGCTCGGGTTTGGTATTATCAGTAGTGGCCATTGATGACATATCATCCGATACTTCACTATCTGTATCTGACGAAGGGGTGTTCATGGATGCATCATCCTTACTAGCCCCAGTCTCTTTAGCGTCATTGTCCGTGCTCTTAGCCTGAGAATCAGGTGTAGTCTTATCCTTATTTTCGGGCGTGGCATTAGTCTGTTTATCAGATGCAGCCTCAGTGTTCATTAGGTTGTCGTCAGTATTCTCACTGCCCGATTTTGCAGGTTTATCAGTAGGGGTATCATTTTCAGGAGAGCCTGTGGTGGTAGTACCGGCATCTTGATCCCCGGAGGTCTGACCATCCCTACGATCTTTAGGTACCGGATCATTGATCTCACTAAATAATTCCTTCAGTAATGGATCTACATCTTCTGAGCGCTCTGGAAAAAGAATGGGAGAAAACATGGATTATACATTTGAATGTCTGAAGTGTACGTACCCAACTGATTTCCGGGAAGTGAAATCCGTCACCGAAAAGGGACAGTATTTGATCGAGTTCCCCCAAGTGAAATCCAGGTGTCCTTGTCAGAATAGAGACAAAAACATTGTACGTCTCGCTGCAACAGTAACGTCTTCAAAGATTTCTCAAAAAAATTGCGTCTATGTAAGTGGTATCGTCAACCAATGCACTGCGTTTCAAACGCATTCCAGTTCAATTAGAACGCAACTGGAAAGCGATTTAGAACCCCATAGAGAACGCTTCTAATGCTAGTGCTATTTAAACTGGAACGCGATTTGGAACTCTATTGAGAACGCTTCTAATGCTAGTGCTATTTAAACTGGAACGCTATTTAGAACCCTATTGAGAACGCTTCTAATGCTATAACGCGTTAAATTCTAATCAGTTATTGGTTCATGAGTTCTACCCAATTATTAAATGTCTCGTACTTACTGTGAATCCGACGTGATGAACATAAAGTAAAGAAAAATAAAACGAGGAATACTTTTCTCATAATTTGTTAACACAAGAAACCTACAAGAAAGAATAATAATTGCGCTGTTACCACAAATTTCCAGTTTTATATGTCGTTCACTATAACAAGAACAACCTAACACCACAGTTTCGTATTGCCTTTTTGTCCTGTTGGCATTTTTTCATTCATATTTACAAACGATACTGAGGTCTATTGTATTGCGGATGCGTTCAATGCTTTTGGAACACAAATGTGCCAGACAATTTTACTTCCCAATGGCAAGGAAACTGGAAAAGATATAGTTATAAAACAGATCAGAATCTTCAAATATTACCTAGATTTTTGCGTTTAACGATCAAGAATAAGGCTCCACATTTATTAAATAACAACGACGTTTTGCAGTTAATTTGTTCGGAGCTAACAAGAACGCATTTTATATCATAAGCTAGAATCTTGTAGCCTAATGATGGAGTAAACTCCGAAACTTCGTTTCATTAAATAAATGTCAACCATTGTTCTTTGTCGTTTAAAAACGCAAAATATGCAAGTAATTAGAGATCCTAACTTCTTCCCGTATCAAACACAATAGAAGAATCTGATGGACATAAGAATTTTACTCTGTCTAACGCCAGACGATTTTACTGGTGAATAAGAATGTCACCGCACAAGAAAGACTTCACCATTATTTCAATCGCGACAGAAATTACTTGTTAGACAGAGTAAGATACTAAAGTCCTAGGCATGCACGCGTTTCAAAAACGGTGAAAATGAAAACTAGAACAACTTAACACTTTTTTAAGATATTACTCAATAACATTGAATATTATAAATCTGCCAAGCAGACAGGTCAACTAAAGATAAACTTACTTTACGTCTCCTTTCCTATAAGAAAATTTCACATCCAAATTTGACACCCCATAAAAAACCTCGTACAACAATAACCATGTATGGACTCAACTCATTCGTCCGAAATTTTGGCTCAAATTTATAAAAACACGCTTTCGACAATCAGGAATAGATTTCTCCTGTAGTCTTTGCCTTGAGCCGGTTGAGTGAGCGGAGATTACGACATGCCTTATACACGTATGAGCTCATTATCAGAGTATGAATTTGAGCAGGTGGCCCCATTCATTACAACGACAAATTGCCGAGTTTAAAACATTATTAAACTGTATTCCACTTTGTATTTTACACATTTAACTAAAGTAAAACAAAATTCTTCCCTTAATATGGCTTAAATAACAAAACGGATGCAAGAAAACCGGTTTAAAACACAAAAAATTAGACCAACCTTAGACATTTGAAAAGTGGCGGGAAAATATTTGCCACGCACCGTCAGTTCCCGACTGTCAAGCCAAAAATCTTCACTTTTTCTACCACGTTTTTGTAAAATTACTTCGAGTAAAGGAATTGTTATATGAGAGCTTCAAATAATAGGGTATTTTATTATTTCAAAGCGCCACGGGCAAGTTCCACTACGTTAAATCATAGTTCGTTTTGGGAAAGTTTGTTTATTTGATCGATGAAGCGACACAATCACGACAGGTGTCGACATTCTCGCGGGATCTGTTGCATTTGGGGCGAGTATGAACCTCGGTGTATATATGATAGCTGGGTTATAATGCAAAATGACCACGCTGTACATATAGGAAGCTACTAAGTGATGTCCACACCAGGCAAGTAGAAAACTACTTGATCATGGTGGGATTTGTACTCAGTTACATTATATATATTGGATGATGTTCTCCAAGTGATGTCCACACCAGGCAAGTAGAAAACTACTTGATCATGGTGGGATTTGTACTCAGTTAGATTATATATATTGGATGATGTTCTCCAAGTGATGTCCACACCAGGCAAGTAGAAAACTACTTGATCATGGTGGGATTTGTACTCAGGTAAATTATATTTAACAAATATAAAACATTTTCCGTGTTGATATACAGTTATAGGCGGAGTGTTTTCACACAATTTCGAGTTTTCCCAATTTCCATGGGAAAAATGTTTTATATTTGTTTTATAATATCACACAAAGAAACATAAAGAAAGAAACTTTCCGACGTTGCCGTGGTGACATTGAATTATATCAACACGGCTCATAACCAATCAGCGTTCAGAATTTACAAATGCTATATTGCAATTTGTAAATATATATACAGTATATAGGATGATGTTCTCCAAGTGATGTCCACACCAGACAAGTAGAAAACTACTTAATCATGGTGGGGTTTGTACTCGGGAAGATTATATATATTGAATGATGTTCTCCAAGTGATGTCCACACCAGACAAGTACAGAAAACTACTTGATCAGCATGGTGGGGTTTGTACTCAGGTAGATTATATATATTGAATGATGTTCTCCAAGTGATGTCCACACCAGACAAGTAGATAACTACTTGATTAATTGGGGCTACTCAGAACAACCAAATCCAAATTAATAAATAATAAAACTTAAAAAAAATGAATACGAGTAAAGTATATTTTATTTGCGGTCAATCAAAAATCACATTAACAAAAATATTTCTATTAAAAGCGTAGCTACGTTCAAATTGCAAAAGCGCTAAAACTATCAAGCAAGCATTATGTCAAGCATATAAAGTTGAAAGTCAAACAATATTTGTTACGTTTTCTAGAAGAAAGCATCCACATAATCACACTGTATTATTAAAATGTTCATTTGATCATCAATACACTTTTATGAGCAATCGCCAACTAAACCTATTCCAATATTATCCTCACTCCAAATCCATCCACACTCTGGTTATTCAATCCTTACTGATCAACGGTTTAAAGGCTAGCCTTTATATAATTGGAAAAAAGGGGAAAATATTAAAATCAACGAGACGTCAATTTTAAGGGGTTTCACTACTCTTGCTATAGAAAGATTCTGCCTCGTATTTCAAGACACATCCTATTCTTTGCGATATCTTGTCATGTGTGATGTCACACATTGTCCTTTCTAATCCAATCCTTTCTCATTTAGAATAGGCAATCCCAGCTTTTAATTTAGGCGCGCAGAGGGTGATGGGAAGTAAGGTATCGTATTCACGTATTGCTGATTATGGTGAAACATTTCAACAAAAACTGCCGAAACAACCGATTTCAATATTTACAAGTATAAGCTATCACTCCGTGTTTACACGGCCACCATTTCTATTTTTTCAGCATAATCAGCAACATGATACCTTACTTCCAATCACCCCCTGTACGCATAAACTAAAAGCTGGAATTGCCTATTGGAAATCAGCATTAGTACTCATCTTATACTAGTTAATACTAGTTATTCTTTAAAATCCTTTTATATGGAGTATCGTATAGACCCATTGCACTAACGTCACAAATCCTTAGAATGTCCTCCAGATGCTCCTTTGTTTACAAAAGTTATATTATGCACAGATTGCTAACTTGTCCTCCAGATGCATCGTCACCGGCGCTGTGACGTCATGTGCAATGGGTCTATATGGACTATTTACTTTATTTCTACCATTGCAATCTATTAAATCTCGTCTTATCTTTCCTAATATATACCCTTCATCTTCTAGTCATATCCCCAACATTCCAAAGCTTGATTTACGCTACCGAAGTATCTGTGATCAGAGTAGGAATTTTGCTTAGCTAAATTCTAAGTTTTGAAGGATTTGTAAGAAATGTTTGAGAGAACTGATTGAGTGTTTAACACCGAGTCAATTCCCTCAAACATTTCTTACAAATCCTTCAAATCTTCCCACTGTGATCACAGAGCCTTAACTATTCTCAATGATCGCAAACTTTTCTGCACTATCAGAAAGCTGCCAATTGACCACTTGCTTAATAGACTAACTTTTGATCTAGACAAAAATTTCATCACAGCTTGAAAAAGCATCACAAAATTAGTAATATTCCAAAGTTTCGTTGCGAAATGCTGTAAAATGCGGACATAATATAGCCTTGCAAAGTTTGCAATTTTCAGTCATTTTAGATTACAAACGGGAAATTGACAGCCCAATACCCTTTGGGGCTGTCAATTTCCCGTTTGTAATCTGAAATGATTGAAAAACGGCAAACTTCGCAAGGCTATAATATCCGCATTTTGCAACATTTCGCAACGAAACTTTGGAATGTTACTAATTTTGTGATGCTCTTTCAAGCTGTGATGAAATTTTTGTCTAGACTTGTTTAGATCAAAAATTAGTCTATTACGCAAATGGTCAATTGATTCAACGACCTGGCGAATCCCTGTCAATCGGAATCAATCGGTAGCTTGCTGGTTATAAAGTCACCCCCTACAGTACAGCCACGCAACATACCTTTTTATAAGCTTCCAAAGCCTTTGTCAGTCTTTCTCCGAAGTCAGGACTCACTTGGGAAAAGTTGCTCACCTAGAAAGAAGTATTTTGTTACCAAAAAGCTGACGACGATTTTGATTTTAATGTGGTTAAACGTAGATTTAAGCGAAGTTAACGGCAGATGTATCTAGCAGCGGGGAGCCCCTGACGTCACTTAGAACAGTTGCAATTATCGCGCATCCGTCACTTTGCTACAGCTTGGCTAGCCAGCTACAACTGCTCTTTCGCTCTTGGCCACCAACGGCACCTACCCCCAAACTCGGATACTCTGCCGTTAAGCGACATTAATTTTATTTCTACTGCATATAGCACTATCTGCAGTTCTTCTTCTGAGGTCCACTAAGGACCATGCATTGTTAGTACAAGAGGAAACCAAAGTACCAGGAAATAACCTGTGCGCTTTAGATGTTACAGTAGCTAACTATGATCAGACAATTGAATATTGCATGAATGAACCCCTATCACCAGGGCTGCAAAATATAGCGGACCACGGAACCATTGGTCCCAGAAAATGTTTCAGGTTGGCAGAAAAAAATGGAAGGTAAAACCGTAGAAGGTAAAAAGTGTTAAATAAAGAAAGAAAGTGTATTTTATTAATTTTAGTGACAATCATACTTTATACTTAAAGTATTTTACTGCAGATTAAAAAACAATAAGATTTACTGAGGTGGTTTTACTTGCAGGAAATGTTTTCGTTGGTCTTGCGGTCCCAGAAAATAAACTATTTTTGCGGCCTTGCCTGCCACAGAGCTAGTAAAAAACATACGGACCAAGCACTGTGCCATCCACATCCCTTGATTTCGTTCTATAGCAATAATCACAAGACGAAGTAAAACTTACAGCTCTTTTCTGGATAAAGTCCTTGGCATCTTTCAAATGTCCAGCAATGTTTGAGACGAGACGTGCACGTTCCTCATCGTTCAACACTTTGTTATAAAATGTTGTCACTTGAGAATAATTGTCCTCCTCACCAGTCTCAACACGTTTGCACTCTCCAGAGAACTATACAGATGGAGAATAAAAATCATATTATGTTTTTATATTATAGTGGAGTTTCGGCGGCACAGTACTCAAAGCAAGCGCCTTTCAACTCTGAGAACGTGGGTTGGATTCTCGCTACAGACTCATGTGAAAAGAGTCAGTCAACGCTCTGCCGAAAGTCGTGGATTTTCTCCGAGTGCTCCAGTTTTCTCTCACAGGGAAAGTTAACAGGATGGGTTAGGATAGGTTTGAATTAACAGATAGCGAATCGCGATTCGCTATCCGTTTTTGGATTTCGCTACTCACTTTGCTATACAGTAGTATAAGAAAATCACTATTCAAACTGAGAAGATTTCACATGTGAAAAAGTAAAACGGATAACATTGGAAACGTTTGTTTTCAAACAATTCTTTGTATAGGCGAAACATTCTCTAATATGCGCTGATATTTCTGAATAGAATTGCGCCTTGGCCTCAAGCTGTGTTTTGATTTAATGTTTTAATATGATTGGCTGACATTATAAAAATGTCAAAATCCACTTAGGAAAGGTCAAATGTCATGCTACTTGTTCAGGCAACTAAAATCAGATTTGAATTTCACAATCACTTAGCCTTAGGTATAAAACCCAAATCAAAATGTTCAATAACTTTCTAGTTAATTCATAATGTGTAGTGTGTGACGTATGCCAGTTTCTTTTTTTGCTAGAACTGAGCTGTGCCATGTTTACTTTTATATGTACAGTATTTTGTTTGTACTTTAATTTACTCTAACTTTAAATAAATATGCCTTTTAATTAACTCTTTTAGATATTGCGCAAATTTTTACGGGTGATATTGTAAATTGGAATTATTTAATTTTACGTCGTCATTTTCTCTCTTTGTTGTTTATAATCTTATGTGTACAACTACCAAAAAAATGAAGACTGCTGATCAGAATCTTTATTATTATAACAGCCTTTCTGGTTGAAGATCTAATGCTCAATTCTTTTTTACTGTACATAGTGGAAATTCGCTATTCACTTTTTATTGCATGAGTCAATGGGTCGAAATTCGCTATTCACTTTTAAATATTTAATTCGAACCCTGGCCGCCGATAAACATAGTTAAGAAAGTAATACCACAATTGTTTTAAAGATAAAACAAGACGCCTGCTCAGGCGTTCACACTGACCTGAAAATGACGACATATGAGCGACGGTGCAATAGACAAGATTAGAATACAAATCGTGAACCGCAGACGCAAAGCGTGAAAGGCTAAAAGCGCGCCGTGATCCTCAGGAGATGTTTTCGTAATGCCCAATAAACACACAAGTATTACTCACAAATACAAACGTTATCCACAAATGCACATGGTTTAGCTCTGAGCATGCGATGCGCTAACGCAGACAACATTGTTTACATTCCGTGAGTCCGTATATTAAACGTATAAAACTTGAAAAACTCAGCGATCCAGATATTGCATTTCCAGAGACGTTGCACGAAAAAACCCCAACCATGCAGTCAACTTCCAAGGAAGCGCAGTCTGAAGGTAAAACGTCTTAAGTCGAATTTTAGACCCCTACGATTTAAGCAGCGCGTTGTTTTGACTTACGTTCTGTGGGCCGCGCTAAAAATATAAATATTCTGTAAATACCGAAATGAAAGATGAAAATCTGAATTAAGACACAAGCTTGAAAATAACACTATAAATAGTGTTTTGGATTCTGATGCCATTAATACTATTACGAAAAAGGTATGTCCAAAGGGGCCGAAGTTATGTTCGGCGAAATGTAGGGCTAGTTTACATTTTTCACTATATTATGAAATATGATACCATACCTCACTTGTATTAAAATTCGCATCGAAGTTAAAAGTAATTTTATTGTTTGACGCAACAAATCTCCAGTAACACAATAAAATGTATGTTTCTTGTAGTTATCAGTAGCAAGTAAATGTTTCCGCGTTTTGTACAGATGTATCGTCTGAGGGTAAAACGTCTTAAGTCGATCAGTAGCAGGTTTATTAGCTTTGAATTAGCAGGTTTATTAGCTTTGTATGTCATTGCTCTGAAGATGTCTTAAGTTAAAGACGAAACGTAAGCTTTGAACCCATCACGGATGTCGCGCAATTGACTGTACATTACGGATGCGCGAATGACTATATGTGTATTGCATATGATACAAACACATTGAGTATAGAATTCTACTCTGCGCATACAATATTTGTAGTCAAACTGTCAAACTTGTCCTCGTTTATATTCTATTCTATTGTATAAATTCGCTTGGTACAAATCCCATACAATATAGTACAGAGAAACGGTGAAATGCTAAAAGCGTGGCGTGATCCTCAGAAGATGTTTTCGTAATGCCCAATGAAACACAAGTATTACTCACAAATACAAACGTTATCCGTAAATACACATGGTCTTTGAGGCATATAGGGACTCAGGAGGTTTAGAACTGGTAATTGACTTGTGCGCGTGCGTACAAGTGTATGGGCTAATAAAGAAATTAACGATGTACCACAAGCATAGCATGAGACTGCTACTACGTACATAAATACGGACCTTGTTACTATGAACACTAAATCAAGCAGTCGAGGAATCGAATGGCATTTGAATCGATGGCATTTTGGGTTAATCGTTGCACACTGAGCCTGCGATGGGCTAACGCAAACTCCATTTCTGGACAAAAACAGAAAACTAGGGATTTAAGACACTTGACCTTTCAGGTCAGTGTAATAATCTAGGCTAAGTACATGCGTAAAAACGCTCAGGTTGATGCAATACTGATGAAAACAGGATTGAACAATGTTTTGCTGCCCACATTGTTCATAGCTGTCAACAATATTGAACAATGTTGTTACACCCGAATCAGGCTCAACAATACTGTTCAATATTGTTGATAAGTGTGAACAACGTGGGCAGCAAAACATTGTTCAATCATGTTGAGCAGCGGACTCGGCGTTTTTTGCCGTGTATGTAATTAGGTAAGCGTATAATACTTAATGTAAAGCGCATTTAATCGTATCCAGATGTTAATATGCACAAAAAAAATATTAAGAGGCAATTTTTTTCAATGTCACGTATTTGCAATGAAAAGTGTTCAAAACCTAAAATCTTTTTGGCGTTCCTCTCAAGATTACTTTGTTTTAGCTTTATTCTCTAGTTTATAGAGTTATCTACCTTTTTAAATGCATCTGCCGGTTGTGAAACATAAAATAATAGTTAAAAATTGTCAATTAAAATACAATTATCAATGATTCTTTAAAATTGACGCTATATTTACAGCCATTTAAGCAAAACTTACTGAACTTCAGACGTCATTTTCTCTTTGGCGTATCATCTAAAATCTCTTCATTTTAGTATTATTTTACAAATAAAGCACTAAACATACTTTTTAAGTTTGTTTGCCGATTGAGAAACGTATCAAAAAATAAAAATTTTTAATTTAGTCATAACCTCAAGTGGAATATTACACGCATTAGTTTTAAGCGCGTGTTACGTCAAACATACAAAAAAATCCCCTCTTAATCTTTTTACATGAAACTACCGCTACTGGTATAGTGGATGTCAAATCTCAATCTCTCTGATATGCAAATGATAGAAAAACGCTCATACCGTTTGAACATGGTGACGATGATGTTCCTCAGGTTTTGGTCCACTGAAACTGTTTGGGTAATAATTGGGTGCTCCATCTAACAAACACACATAGCAAGGTTTAGAAATCTGATGTAGGCTACAGGTGCTGTGTGACAATGTTACAGGAGGGAACTCAAACTAAACTAAACTAACTTTTTTTATACTGGTTAGCTCTATTAGTTCTAAACTGTTCTTCCTAGAGAACCAGGAAGGATCATCCCTTCTTGATCCAGTGTTATTACAGGAGGAAACCTAAACTAAACTAACTTTATTTATACTGGATAGCTCTATCAGTTCTAAACTGTTCTCCCTAGAGGTCCAGTAAGGATCATCTCTTATTGATCCAGCATTACTACAGGAGGAAACCTAAACTAAACTAACTTTATTTGTACTGGATAGCTCTATCAGTTCTAAACTGTTCTCCCTAGAGGTTCAGTAAGGATCATCTCTTATTGATCCAATGTTACTACAAAAGAAAACCTAAACTAAACTAACTTTAATTTTATTTATACTGGATAGTTCTATCAATTCTAAACTGTTATTGATCCAGTGTTACCATAGGAGGAAATCTAAACCAAACTAACTTGATTTATATTAGATACCTCCATCAGTTCTAAACTGTTTTTCCTGAAGGTCCAGTGAGGATCATCTCTTATTGATCCAGTGTTACTACAGGAGAAAACCTGAACTAAACTACTTTATTTATACTGGATAGCTCCATCACACAATTGCATCACAATTCTGAATGCACTGGGAATTGGGAAAGTAAACAAAGCATGTTGGAAACATAATAAAAAAACACTTTCCACATCATCTTCTGTTGGGCACTTAAGTTCAGTGTAATACTGGACAGTTGAAACACATACCTGGGACTTCAAAGGTCTGTGGTCCATCTCTTTGATAATTTTTAGTACTGCACTTATATGGGCAGTTGACGGGCAGTTGATGGTAGTTTAAGCCAAGACGATGGATATGTGTATCATGGTAGGAGAAAAGACGTCCCTGGAGCATTTTGTCTGGCGAGGGTTCAATTCCGGGCACCATGTTTGCGGGATTGAAAGCACTTTGTTCAATCTCAGCGAAGTAGTTGGATGCATTGCGGTTCAAGGTCATTTTGCCAACTGGAATGAGTGGGTGTTCCTTGTGCGACCAGATCTAAATTTTGTATAGATAGTTGTGAAACTCATTGATAATTCACGAAGAAAACACAAAAGATATCATGAGCGTGAAGGAGTTTGTATATCTGATACAGAATCATGCTGATTTATATGAACTTATTAGTTTATTTTAAATTGTAGAAAAATACGAATGTTCTCGTTTAGAAAGTTTCACAAGCTAATACATATTCATGTCCATGTTGTGTCAGACAGTACACACCTTTGTGAGATCAAATGGATTGCATTTGCATTTCTCTGCTTCTTCAAACGTCATCACTTGAATATACAAGGTCCAGGATGGCTATAATATAAAGCAAAAGATTATATATTCATTGTACTATAAAGGAAAAAGTTTGTTCTTTATCCCATTGAGTGGCAGCACTCTCTCCATGACGAGTAAAATCATCTGCCGTTAGACAGAGTCAAATAATAACATAGTGTGCATCAGGGTGCTTTGCCATCAATAGAGGGTTACTAGAAATATAACCAACTTCACTTACAAAATTGCCATTAGTAATAGATTCGTAAAGATCTCTGTTTGAATAATCTGGATCAGCACCAGCCAGCTTATCAGCTTCAGCTTGGAAGAGGTTCTTGATGCCTTGATCAGTCTGAAAAGTTAAACTCATTGTTATGACTAATAACTATTATGACTTATATAACTCGTCCTTGCAACTTATAACTCATCACATTGAGTCTTAATTGGCAGTTTTGGAAATCGTATACAGTATATTACCTTGAAATGGAATTTGCAGTAGACAGCCTCATTCTTGGCATTGACCATTTTAAAGGTGTGACTGCCGTAACCATTCATGTGACAGAAACCATCAGGAACGCCTCGGTCACCAAACAGGAAACAGACTTGATGGGTTGTCTCAGGACGCAAGGTGATGAAATCCCAGAACATGTTGGGATCCTAGAAATACCAACAAAATTATCAAGATAAATAAAACTACTAAATAAAAAAGTTTTCCAGAAGTGTTTGTATAGTTCAATGTAGCCCTTTCGAAGTCTCCAACAGTCAGAAAGTCAGTCAACCATTTGGCTATAACCCATTGAGTGTCAGTGCATTGTTAAGTAAAAGCATAGTACGTCTTATTCGGCAGAATAAGACGTCTTATTCAGGGTTTGAAATCATAGTACGTCTTATTCAGGGTTTGAAATCTTCAGCACGTAAAATCATCTGACACTAGTAAAAGACACTAGTGGTAAAAGTAGACACTGTGGTCTTTCACCCCAGGCAAAATCATCTGACGTAAGACAGAGTAAACTAACAGAGTAAACTAGGGTGCAGTTAAAATGCAACTTAATATGTAAGTTTTATTTTGGATACCTTCAAATGTGTCACAGGGTTTCGTTTCTGGGTGTGAATGAAGCTGGGAAACTACAAAATAGAAATGTATAAACCTAGTCAGTAATACTGGCACAAAGACACAGCATAAGCAGTCCACTCAAAACAGTAAGATAGGATCTCAATTAATATTTTCAAGCAGTTCATTCACACATCATGGAGATATCTCAGACCACAATAGCAGTTTCAACTGATACAATAACAAAAGGCAGCTTACCAATATGGGATCTCGGATGAAAAAGATTGGAGTATTGTTTCCAACGCAATCCCAGTTTCCATCTTCAGTATAAAACTTCATCGCAAATCCCCTCGGGTCCCTTGCGGTATCAGCACTACCCGATTCACCACCTTCAATATTGAGAGAGAAAATTAAATGTATTCCCCATTAATTGAAGCATGAGACACTCTCCTTGACGAGTAAGATCATCTGGAGTTAGACACTGGAGTAAAATAATAAAGTAGGGTAGAGTTTGGTTATTATGGGTTACCATTAGACACATTGGCAGATACTGTAGGTAACTGCAACTAATGCTAAATGCTAGGATTCTTCACCTAATTTGAATCTAAACTCCAAGTAAATTTTAAGGAGCATTGGTATAAATACACAATTTTAAGGACCAGTTGCTAGCCTTGGTGGGCACTAGGAGAGAACCAGAAAGCATGTCTGTCTACCTATTACCATATTTAATTTAAAAATCTATCAACCTACCCACAGTAGAGAATCGAGCAAGACACGGTGTCTCCTTGCCAATCTTAGAGAAAATGCTGGCCTTGCAATACTTTGTGATGTCATGTGTCACTTTGAATGTCCCAAATGCCCCACCACCTTTAGCGTGAACAACACGTTCGGGGATTCTCTCACGGTCAAAGTGAGTCATCGTGTCGAGGAAAAATGTATCCTGGAGCAGGATTGGACCACGTTCACCAACGGTCTTTGTTGCCGTCACTGTTTCCACAGGGCATCCAAAACCTGTTGTGGCTCGAACAGGGTTCTAGTGAGAAAATAGAAACCTTAAGTAAGCGATCATTAACCCATTAAGATGCATCATAGACAGTTCAATTGTCTATGGTTGCATTGCACACTAATGTGCTCCGCTTTAGTATGTTACTCCGTCTAATGCCAGACCTATAAATGCTCTTATTACACACGCATACCGTAGTTCAGTCATTTATTGTGGCATCATTGAATAATTCTTGCTTGAAATCAAGAATGATAATCTACACAGTTTCATACTGTTGATTTGATTCTAACAACTTTATATTTTTCTATGTGCAACATATCTGTGCTGACAAAAAGTTGCATGCTTAAGTTTCAGCAGATAGGCATACAAGAGCATGCATGTTGTTTTATATCTATGGTTACCGTATAGATCGTAAAGGCTCATTTACACTTGTAATTTTTGCCGCAATTTCTAACACAATTTTCTTCTTCTGATGCGTATATGAACATGTAGATGAGTTACGAACGTTTGAGTACATGTACCCTTGTTCATCAAAAGGAAATCGCACCTAAAATCACAGCAAGAATTGCCAGTGTAAATGGGCTTTAAGACATTTAAAGTCAGGCAAGCTAAGTCAATTGTCCATCATTTTTTCCCCCATACATCTAGCTCGTAAGACATTGCAAGAAACCACACCCTCTTCACACAAGGGCATGCACAGTTTATATGACTAGCACATGACTTTGTTTTTTGAATAAGTGACAAAAAATAGGTTTTTCATACAGTAAAGCTATTTATCTAGTACACCTAGCAATATCAAGAATCTGGGCAAAATTCCATGAACTCGAGTGCCCAGTCATGTGATCTTAGCTCGCAGCTAATATTTACTAATTAACACCCTAGTTATATAACTAAACTGCTGATATCTTAATATTGCATCATAAACTTTAAGTCGGCCTAGATGGTATATTTAAAAATAAATTTAATCTTATTATACTAACCAAACAACCCAAATGAATTCAATATTTCAGCTAATATCCTATCAGATCATTGCGTAATTATAGATAAAACAAACGAATAATATTTGGTCTGTATAAGAAATATTATGAACTAATTATCGACTACATCCAATGTTTACTATATTAAATCGTAATTTTAATGCTTCTCAGCTTGCCCTCGACTATTTAGCTGCTAAGTAGATAAAAACAAGATAAATTAGCAATTTTTGTTAGGTACATATTTTCACGCGAGACATTAAGTGTCGAATTTCGTTCCTTCGAACAAACCCCCATTTTGCAACATTTGTAACATCGCCGCACATAATTTAAAATATGAAGTAAAGCAACTGTAATTCATACCGGGTTCGCTTTAGCGAATTGTTCAAGTTGGTCAGCTCCTTTGATAGGCATTTTGAAGGCTTTTACAATGCAAACTCGATGCAAACGTCTTGGAGTTTTGAGTACCACGCACGAAGAGAAATCCGACACTTGGTCGATTGCCTACAATGAATTGTGGTATTTAAATTATTTACTTAGAGCTTCCACACAATCATATCAATTTTCTTTCCCAATTACCACCTCTGATATTGGGCTTGATTTTGCCTCCAAAAATAAAAGAATAAAATCAGGTTTATTTTTAAATCCTTCTGTAACAACACTAACAGGAAAAACTGATTTCATTTATCCATAAAAAAGCTTAGAATCAGCGACAAAATTAAAATTTATTTGGAGTTATGCCATGGGAAAAATTTGTCAAAAGAAGACGGAATTTTTAATGAAGGTCATAAATTAACATCGATTATCGTAACAACGATATGCGATGATATAAACATCACGATTCACAGCGCGTGATCACTGCGCGTGATGTCATCACGCGCAGTGATCACGCGCTGTGAATCGCCAGTTTTATAGTACAAAAACGTGTTCACAAGCACGAACACCTAAATCGCATTACACTGAAAATTTGGGATGACAATATTCATTGCACGGGGATCATTGACCCCACAACTTCAAGACTAAACTGTTCTCCCTAGACATCCAGTAAGGATCATCTCTTATTGATCCAGTGTAGTATTAGGAATAAACCTAAACTAACTACTCTAGTCTCTAGGTATACTGGATAGCTCTATCAGTTCTAAACTGTTCTCCCTAGACATCCAGTAAGGATCATCTCTTATTGATCCAGTTTTACTACAGGAGGAAACCTAAACTAAACTACTTTATTTATACTGGATAGCTCTATCAGTTCTAAACTGTTCTTCTTAGAGGTCCAGTAAGGATCATCTCTTATTGAATCAGTGTTACTACAGGAGGAAACCTAAACTAAACTAACTTTATTGATATTGGATAGCTCTATCAGTTCTATACTGTTCTTCCTAGAGGCTAGAGTTCCAGTAACGATCATCTCTTATTGATCCAGTGTTACTACAGGAGGAAATTAACCTAAACTAAACTAACTTTATTTGTATTGGATAGCTCTATCAGTTCTAAACTGTTCTCCATAGAGATCCAGTGGGGGTCATCTTTTATTGATCTAGTGTTGCTAACTACTTTATTTATACTCGAGTGTGTAAAAATGCTGACTCACTATATGACAGTTTTTTTCTGCCCTTCAAAACTAACGAGCAATATTTGGAAAATATTAGACCAACAGGAAATAAGCCTTTATCTGTTTCGAGCACTGAGCTATGGTTCAGAGGCAAGGACACACAAGGGCACGATGGCTCGTGGGAATAAATGCTACGTCGTTGTCTTGTAGTAGAAACATAGTCAGTATTCCATTTCAGAAGAAAAACCTTTAGAAGAAAGCTCGCCTTCACTAAACAGTCATGCAAAAACAATAGAGGTGCAGTTCTGACTTCCACTACTACCTGGCTCAGCGCGAGTCTGATTGGTAATCTGGTAGATCAAACGCATCTGATTGGTTAATCGGGTAGTTCAAACGCATCTGATTGGTCAATCGGGTGGATTAAACGCGTCTGATTGGTTAATGGCAGCGGTAGTTGAAGTCAAAATCTGAGCCTCTCCTCCTCATTAAGGAACCATTAACCAATCAGATGCATTTGATCTACCCAATTAACCAATCAGATGCGTTTGATCTACCCGATTAACCAATCAGACGCGTTTGATCTACCAGATTAACCAATCAGATGCGTTCTGAGCGAGTGAGTAGTAGTGGAAGTCAAATCTGAATCTCTCTAGTAAAAATTTAATAGATACTTACATCTCTATAAAGTTGAAGCAGTCATCCCTTCTCGATCTTTCTCACACAACCAGCAATGGTAAAGGTTTAATTTATGATCATCAGGCAAGACATCCTGGTGTTCTCCCAAACAAAATATTCTGAATGAGTCGTTCCCGTATTTTCCAATACCATATAGTTCACTTGGATAGTGCCACATCTTTTCAAGGTACTCTTGTGAGAAGCGAATTAAGCTCTGTGCACGTTTACGGAACAAGCCCAAAGGTTGGATTATATCTGGGAAGAAAAAAATTATCTTTACTAGACCTCTAGGGAGAACAGTTTAGAACTGATAAAGCCACCAGAATTAATAAAATTAGTTTAATTTAGCTGTCCTCCTGTAGTAACACTGGATCAATAAGAGATGATCCTTACTGGACCTCTAGGGAGAACAGTCCAGAACTGATAAAGCTACCAGTACAAATAAAGTTAGTTTAGTTTAGGTTTCCTCCTGTAGTAACACTGGATCAATAAGAGATGATCCTTACTGGACCTCTATAGGGAGAACAGTTTGGAACTGATAAAGCTATCCAGTATAAATAAAGTTAGTTTAGTTTAGGTTTCCTCCTGTAGTAGCACTGGATCAATAAGAGATGATCCTTACTGGATCTCTAGGGAGAACAGTCCAGAACTGATAAAGCTACCAGTACAAATAAAGTTAGTTTAGTTTAGGTTTCCTCCTGTAGTAACACTGGATCAATAAGAGATGATCCTTACTGGACCTCTATAGGAAGAACAGTTTAGAACTGATAGAGCTATCCAGTATAAATAAAGTTAGTTTAGTTTAGGTTTCCTCCTGTAGTAACACTGGATCAAGAAGAGATGTTCCTTACTGGACCTCTAGGAAGAACAGTTTAGAACTGATAGAGCTATTCAGTATAAATAAAGTTAGTTTAGTCTAGGTTTCCTCCTGTAGTAACACTGGATCATTAAGAGATGATCCTTACTGGAACCCCAAGATGAAAAATTTATAGAACTGGTAGGGCTATCCAGAAAAAATATAGTTAGCTTAAACTTACAAGAAGGGATAACAGGTTCAGATTTATTTCTTAATCTTGGCGGTAATGGCGGGCTGTTGGGAGGTACGGGTTCTGACGTCTGTTTCACCATTGTATTTCTCTTTCCACTTGCAGTCTTTGATGATTTACATACGGGAGATCTCTCTATACAGTCTTTGTGACACACGTGATTACATGCTGGAGAGAAAATATTAATTAATGTACAGTGTAGTATATCATGTATTTGCTGACTGGAATATAAACAATTTAGACCATCTTAAAAAATACCTTTGCATGTATACCCTTGGTTGATCAAACCCCTGAGACAAAAGAACAAACCAAAGTCATTATTGCACGGCGTCATTAACACTAATGGCAGATGAGCGAACTTGGACAGAGAGAAGATGGTTCGTCTGTTAATTCGTTCGTGAATAATCATGGCAAATCATGGTTCATCCGTGAAGACAAACTATGCGCGTAGTTCATCTTGATGCATGTGTGTATACAGTATGTGTATAAATACAGCATTAGGGTTTTCCTGGGTGCAAACTGGCCTTTTTATATTACTAAAGATCCAATGAAGAATGTGTCATGTTCGTTTATAAGGGCTGCTGTAATTGGCGTAAGCTGTAGCATATACTCTGCCATGATTGATAGGTTGTATATTCTTGTGTTTGTATTTGTATTTGTACAGATTGTGTGAAATTGGCAAAGCACAATAAATAAATAAATAAATAAATACGTAGTTCATTCTTCATTGATTTAGTCTAACGTGTACAAATATTTAACTACTAACCAGAGTAAATTTTTACAAACAGTACAATACGTTGGATGAAAGAAGGTTGTCAATTCTAAACGATGATTTCCTACAAAAACAATGTTATTCAAGTTGATCATAATGCAATCAATGCTTTTCGATTACAATAATTGTTGGTAATCTTGGCGGGACTCACCTAGATTATAATCAGCTAGAGTGAGATTGCTTCTATAAAATGGAAAGAAACACTGTTTTCAGAATTGTCACCTAAAAGTATGTCAAGCAGGACCGCAGAGAGAATTCGCGGGGCCGGGGGCAATTCTTCCCTGGGGACCGCATGACAGCATTATTTTTAAGCTAGACCCAACTAGACCTTAGCTAGACTGCATGTGGAGGTACTGTAAGGGGCCTTCAATTTCGGAAATGCTCTTACCAATTTGAAGAACCTATTCAATTTTAGCCTCTCGCTCTCAAGTTGGGGCCCTATTAAGGTGGGGTGATCGCTAGATAGTATACTTCAAAATAACGTTTCCATTTTTATAACGTAGAAAAAACTATCCTAACGCAAAACTAAACACTGACCCTAATACTAACCCTCACTCTAACCCTAACCTAAACCCTAACCTAACCATAACTTATTTTAAAAAATGATATAAAAACGGAAACCTTATTTTGAAGTTTACTATCTAGCAATTGCCATTAAGGTGGGGGCCGGGGCAATTTGCCCCCTCCCCCTCTCGGCGGTTCTGATGTTAAGTGGACGAGTTAAAAAATTTGCAAATGGAGTCTTTGCAGAACACCTTGGCAGAACACCTTGGCATAACAATAGTGCCATCCAGTCATGACCCAGTGATCAGAATATTCTATTGTCTTTTCATTGTTTTGAAAACTCTACTGTTCTCCATGTCATCCAGTTGCTCAACGTTTTCACGTTTCCCTGACCGTAGCAATCTACGTATAGCACTCGTCCAAACTTAATAAAAGTGCCTGGCATTGTTTCAACTTACATTGTCCTTTGAATATCTTCCACCCACTTTCTCTTCATATCGTCTGTCTTGGTGAACATTTCATACGAGCCTCGCCCTGCTTCCGGTGAATTACCATTCATCGTCCAACCATGAACAAACTAAATACGAAATACTTGAGTCTGGCTATCACACGTTCTGTCATCACAGTTGGAATTTTGCATTGGTAAAGTCTTGAAGGATTTGTAAGAAATGTTTGAGGAAACTGTGGGTTAAACAGTGACCGAGTAATCATGATTTTTCTGTATTGGCCGTGTTGGTGATATTTCTGTCAACAAGACTTTATATGCAGCCATCGAGCGTGAAAGGATTTTATCAACATATACTTTACCTTGCCTTTGCCAGAGATAGTCACAGATTCATTCACGTTATAATGATCTAAATATAAT